TAAAATCAATCCATATTTTTCTTAGGTCTCATATACCGAATTTATCAGTCAAAATATATTAGTTAATATATATATAGTATGAGATAATTAATAGAAATGTGATTCGTACTTAAAAAAAAAAAACGAAAAAGGTACATATGTTCTGCTAGACCCCATATAACTTACATAATTATTATATATATTTATATTTCAATGGGTTCAAAAAATAACGTTTTTGTTTTCTAAAGTGTAGGTAGGTTTCATTGGGAAAAGTGTTGAAATTATAGAAAATACCTACATTGTTTTGTTAAAGCTAACATTTATTTAGCTTTACATCTTTGATGGCAACTTACAACAAAATTTTCCGCATATCCCACAGGAAGCGATTTTCAGGTATGTTGGAGTGTCCGAATGGAATCTTTAGCTGACGTTAAATGTTTTCTTGATATGTTGGCATTCATTAAGGCCCAAACATTCTTTATTGGATTGGCCTCTTGTGACCTGTTGAAATCCGGTTGACTGTCTGTTCGTCCGGTTGTTCGTCTGCGCAAGCGATAACTTGAGTAAAAATTAAAATATATTAATGAAACTTGGTACACTTGGTCCTTGGCACCCAAGCAAAAACATATAAAATTCCATAACTAAACGCTAAATAAACCACACCCAAGATGGTATGGAAGGGCTTTACAGAAGCAGTTATACAAGTTGGACAATGGGAGTGGCACTGCTCACCTTTTTGATGTGTGAAGTTACTCACACATTTCTACCAACCTCGTCTACTTCTCTTATTACAAATTTACCCTTGCGCCAAAAATGGGTAAAATCGGGTGAATACCTCCCATAGTCCCCATATACTTAGTATATGTAAATATTTTCGAACTTTCTGTTGACTTTATACTGCATCTATGTATTGGTCAATTCGTAAGAAATCTTAATGATGTACAACAAAAATCTCTATCTTATAACAGTGTATCCTCTGCTTAAAATGCATGAGATCCTCTAGTCTCCATATAACAAATACTCAAATTTTCAAATATTTGCTTGAGATTTTGCCTTAAAAGTATATTATATATTGGTCAAGCTGTAAGGTTTCTTAATTTGCAATTGCCAGAGTACAAAATGTTCGATTACACCCAAACTTGGCTTGTAATCTACGTTTCTGGCTTCTTCATAATGGTCGGATCACCTCTTCACAAATATACAACTCTTATTTAAATATTTTGCAGTATATGTAAGACCTTTGGGAAGTTTTATTAGAAAGGCTGCTTCAAAACGTTTCTTATACTGAGCACTCAGTTTTCTTATTCCACGACACGACGAGACACATTAAGAAGATCGAAAAAAACTAACCAAATTGTACGCGTAAGTGATGGAAATTGGACATAATTGTTAATTTTCAAAAATAAATTGAAACAGTTTGCCTCAAATTGCTCACGCAAAGGAAAATTGTTGTTTTTGAACACCAGATATACAGGCAATTTGAAATATTGGATCGTTCACTAAGTAATTTCGTTTTTTTAGCTGTGTGAAACATTTTATGAAATTACGATTTACATCGACCAATGACTTTATTTTATCCACATCGGCTTCAAGAAGCCTTCCAGGACGTGGTGCATCTTCAAGAATGAAATTGCCGAAACAAAATTGCTAAATATATATATATAGGTTTTGGGTCTTCTAATTGACTTTATATCGTATATAAAAGTATAAGAGATACGTAATAAAATTGGGTCAGACTAAATCCCTTAACAATTAAAAAACTCCTAAATTTCCTTTTCACCGATCGCCTGATATTATCCCTAACACACATAAGTATGTGCAGTGATGAATTCGTGTTTCAAAATCTCACTGAATTATTGAACTGATCTCGTAAAATAGAACCTACTGCGAACACACATTCTGATATGTGTATATATAATATTGAAAAAGTACTTTTACTTTATTAAATTCGCTTCAAACTTTTTTCAAACTCATCAAATACAATTCCACTGTACGAGTACAACTGCACGAATGGGGATTTAAATTTTTTGAATTTTATCACTTTCAGCCAAGGGCCAAGTTTAGCAGTTTAGTCCCCAGTATGATAACTGCTAGTACAAAAAAGCAAAAGTGAACAAATATAAAGTAAATCTGAAAAACTTCTTTAGGCTGAGCTTAATTATTTTCATAACTTCCATATTTATGATTGAGAGTATGTGTGTGGTATACATTTCATAGGTCAGTCAGATAGACATGATTCAATGAGTTCGAGTGTAAATAATCGATTAATAAAAAATAAAATAATCGATTAATAAAAGTTAAAGTATTTAGTGCTTCACAAGTTATCATTTGATTAACCTCTTTAAAGCCGTTAGCTTGACTTGGTATACAAGTCCTATGCTATAGACTACAAGGTGCAATTCAAAAGTTTCAGGACTTTTATTAAAAAATTAATATTATTTGTTTTTTTTTTCAAAAATTTATTGGTCGCCTTCAAAATAGTCTCCTTCCGCTTGAATACAACGTTTTGCACGTTCAAGAAGGTTATCGAATGACTTTTTTAGGTCATTTTCGGTATAGCGTTGAGAATGGCGGTCGTCGCCTTTTGGATGGCATCAACGTCAGCATAGCGGTTTCCTTTCATGGCCAAATGTAGTTTTCCGAACAAATAAAAATCGCAGGGTGCCATATCAGGCGAATAGGGTGAATGGTGGATGATATGAATGCGATTTTTGGTCAAAAAATCGGTCGTGAGTGTCGAGGTGTGAGGTCTTTTTCGTGTTGTTTCAAAGTGTGCGGGACAAATCGAGCACAAACCTTTCTGAGGCCCAAATTTTCTGTCAAAATACGATAAATCAACGCGGCGGATATTGATAATTCCGATTCCATATATTTAAGCGATGATTTCGGCTCTTTTTTAATGAATTCACGCACAATTTCCGTGTTTTTTTCGTTCACAACATCTTTTGGCCGGCCCGAACGTTCGTCGTCTTCCAAGTTCTCCCGTCCCTCTTGAAAACGTTTAAACCACTCGTGAATACGGCTACGGGATAGACAATCATCGCCATAAACTTGTTTCATCATTTGATGAGTTTTGGTAAAAGTTTTACCAAGTTTAAAACAAAACTTAATGTTGGCATTAGATAATTGTATTAAACAAGCAGATCACTCCATTGTCCATCCCACTTGGGGGGGAGAGGACCTCATATAGACGATGAGATGTGAAGATCGAGCTTTTATATATACTACGCGATCGATTCGTATGGAGCGAACACGACATTTAATCAGTCTTGAATATAAAGTAATTAATTTTGATAAGAATAAATACTAAGTTACAAATAAAGAACATTTTAATTAATATTATTTTTTTAATAAAATACCACTTGTTGTGACATGACTATAACAGTTAGACCTTTGCTATTGCGACTTTTTTCGTAGATAATTATATGTGTTGCAAAATCGTTGTACATTGTTTTATTCTATATTCAAGAGTATTCGCAGCGCACGTTATGTAAGGAATTTTTTAGCTAATTTTTTTACACCTTCGGTTACATTATTGGCGTTTTAGTAAGCATGTAAGGTAGGTCGCCTCCCAGTAGAGTATGATGGGTAACGCTAAATGACCTGCGGTCTACACGGCCTGTGAAAACTCCTAACGGACCTGACCTCGGATCGACTCGGACTATGATTCCGTCATCTGAGTAGGTAAATGCCGAGACTGCCTCTATCCCGTTAAAACACTGGCAGGCCTCGGAATTAAGTTCCTCTCTTGTCATCATTAAGTTGATGTGTTAGGTGTAAGTTGAATCGTTAATCGAAACCCTATAAAATGCCATAATTACGCATTAATATATGATATAAGCCTGTAATTTGGTACAGGGAATTGCAGTAGCAAAGAGCAAGGGAGCTATTTGGATTTTTTTATAAAGTGAACGTGACCCCGCCCTCTAATAGGTTTAATATATTGTATATATCTCTTCAATCATTCAATCAAATCGGCAAATAATCCGCCATATGCACTGGTGTCCACATATTTAGTGTGTGCGTCCTTGAAAAGTTATAGTCCGATTTCGACAGTTTTTGGGCGTAACATTAAATACCTTGAGGACACTATATGTGCAAAGTTTTACATTAATAAGCTCATTGATGTTTGATCTGTATACTGCAAAGTAAAAGAATCATAAGGAATTTGAAAGTTTGTTATATGAGAAGTAGGAGTGGTTGTCAACCAATTTCGCCCATTTCTATACAAATAATTGAATAACCTCACACACCAAATTTGGTTTAAATTAGTTTAGTAGTTCCTGAGATATAGGATTTTATCTACAAAGGGCGTGGTCCAACTTTTACACCGGCTACCATAAAGCCCTTCTCTGCCATCCTGGTTGGGAAATTTAATGCTTGTAACTCTTTTATAAAGTGAGTTATCGCACGTTTAGTAATTTTTAGCATAGTCGCTCTATGGTGAGTGGGCGTGGTTATTATTTGATTTTACCCATTTGCACAGAATATGAAGAAATGCTAAAAATACTTAATTAATTTAAGATATCTCAGACGGACGGACGAACGGACAGACAGTCACCCGAATTTCAACTCTTCTCTTCATCCTGATCATTTCTGACGGTATTTCTACCATAAAAACACTTCTAATAAAAATCGATCGGTACTACGGAGAGAACTTACCATTACAAAATTCGTCGAAATTTAATATAATATTATATACAATATGACTCTTATTTAACGACATGTACATAATCGGAAATCATTATATATTGTACAGTTTTAAAGCCGTTAATCAGATTCTGAACAAATCTATAGTCATTCCATTTAATAAAGTTATCTCATATGTATATTAATATTTAGGCTAACAAATCATCTGAGGAGTATAGTTCCTCATATTCGGTAAATGGGGAAGCAACGGCGTTTTTGCTAAAAACATTATATACGTACGTGATATGTAGTAATTTTTTTAAGATTTTTATAAAAATAAAATCATTTAGTAAATTAATATGATCAACACTTCTTCGATTTTATTCTTACAGTGATGCAAAATAAAATGGAATTAGTAAATAACGTCGTACAAAGATATATACCTACACAACCGCTACATACATAAGAATCCCTATCACATACATAGATGGCAAATATTCCAAGTGTTCAGATGAGCAAATCCGTTTACATCATTGCCAATATGAAATATTCATAAAGGCAAATCCAAAACGTGCGACAACGCGGGAATTACCCGCTAAGAACACACGCGTGAAGATACAAACACCGCATTAGCGTATGTACTATGTATGTACTTATATGTGCATATGAGTAAGTGAAAGGCTGGGTAATGTCGCCGAGTGCGTGACTGTCGACAGCAATCATCATATCTAGTAGAAAATCTGTACCAACGTCAATCACGCCAATGTCAACAGTTCGTCTTCAACAAGTGCAACACATTCATCATCATTACCAAAAGGAGCAACAACAACGGGCACAGCAGCACACCGGCCCAGCAGACAACAGCACAACGATCACCCAGAAGTAAATTTAAATAATGCTAGTAACTGACATTTTAATGCATTCTACGCCGATTTAAGTGAGTTCGCGTCACCAACACAGCCACTTAAGCAAGACGCTACCCGATACACACTCAAGCATAGAAACCTATTGCCATCGGCGAAGTGGGTGCGCAAACCTCAGTGGCACTCTTAAAATATTTGAACTACACATAGAGCAGGTATCCGAGAGGAAGGGGGAAGAAAAATGTTCGATACGAAATGGTTGCCTGCCGCCTGTGGCAGTTTGGCACCCGCTCTTATACCGCCCGCACACATGTTGGTGTTGGCCTATTTTTGGGAAAATTATTCGCGTTACGTTGATAAGCACTTTTGTACATGCTCCTGCTGGGACACCATATTCAAAGGGCCCTACGAGTCGGGTGTTGCCTCGTACAAGCATCTCTACTTCAATGCCACACAAAATTCATTCAAAATGTGGCTGCTCACTGTATTCGCTGTTATTGCGCTTTATGAATGCATTAAACAGTTGATTGCGTTGATATTGCAACAACGTTGTCGCTACTCGATGTTGTTGCTCTTCTCGCTGTCGATATTTTCACACTATTATGCCTGGTGGGCGTACATAAATTACTACAACGATGACTATTACCAGCAATGGAACCATCAGCTATTTTTTACGGTAAGTCCTGTACAGCTATGCATATGTATGTGGGCGTTTGTGTGTGCAAGTGTGTGTGTGTGCGAGTTTATTGCAGTAAGTAATAATAATCTCTGAAGGCAATGTCTGAACCAGTTTTAAGCTCTCGGAACCACTTTGAGCGCTTCCTCTCAAATGCTAAGTAAATATGTCACTGCAGGAGCTAAATGCGTCAATTTTCACTCGATTTGAGAAAATTTAATACGTAAACGGGAAGAGCGTGAAATTTTATTTTTTTGCATATTGTTTTAAATTTAATATATACTAACATCCTATTGGGAAGCGGTGGAGTCTCTCACCAAGAGTTGTGCTTTGGCTTTGCGAAACCGTAATTAAGCCGGTATTGTTCTATAGTTTTTTGTCTGGTGGGGGGCGCCAGGTAAAGCCACATTCGCTAAAGCAACTCTCATTGGCAACAGTGGTACACTAATGTACAACACAGATGCATTACTGCGAAGATTACTATCAGACTCCGGGAAAATTGACATATTAATCCTCTGTCACTTCGACTGCATCCCTGATAACTTGGATCACAGCGCCGCGGAACCTACTTCTAACAATATCTTCTCCTAGCACATAACTCCGAGAGATATGTAGGTGAGGCGGAGTCGCTGAAGAATAGGTGCAATGAGCTTTTTTACGGTTGGATTGAAGCTCAAGGGGACGGTTGAAGGGGGAGTATTCTATCAGGAGCTCTCAATCAACTCTTGTTTCAGACTGTCAGACCACTTTAGTGTCTTTCAAGCAGAATAGGCGACCATATGAATATTAGCAGATGTACTTATCCGAAGTGTGGCTTTTTTTATGGAGGTATGCATCTACTCCGCTAGTAGAGTTGATATACAGGACTTCAGCTCGCTGCATACTCACGAGCAGCAGCATCAATCTTCTCGTATATTAAACTTGACGGAATCATCAAAAATTGTGCATTGCAAGAACCCAAATTTAATCAAGATGGGAACGAGCAGGTGTTTCCCTGTCTTCGTACATTCGGGCGCTAGATCTTTGGGTGTCGCACGAGCTCAGCAAGCGTAGGTCAGCAACCAAAAATTTTGGAGGATGCAAGGTGGAAACATCTAGACACTTTCTTCTTTACTGTCCAACTTTCGCAAAATTAAGCATCGCAATAAATTTGTGGCAGGCTCTAGGCGGTCTTTTTGTTCTATACCTAGGAGTTCTAAGCATCACAACGGACAAGCGGTGCATCATAGTGCAAGTGGAATTATTTGTGACCTCACGAGTAATCGGTATATTTACCTGACCTAACCTATCATACAAAATACTTTAGTGGTCGTAAACGAGGTTACTTGTCGAGAAGGAAGTCATTATGTATCAAAATTAGCTGGACTAATGAGATTAAATTGGAAGCACAATTAACTTAATGGGGTCTTAAGTGCAGTTGCTTGGAAATAGAAATATGGTAAATTGATGTTTGTCCTGCGGCCTAAAGTATATTGTGCACATCTACGGACTCTTGTAAGCCCAGCACTCAAATTAATCCCAGGATCTTGCTTGGCGCTATTGGGGCAATGTCCATCTTATTAGGTGATATAGCTCCAAGGGCCTTATTCCTGCAACTGCAGACCCCCTAGGCAAAAGGCTATACCCACGTTGAAAAGATGCTTCTTGACCAGTGAAAATACCACTAACAATTGAAATTTGTCTCCGGGCTCATAATTTGTTATAATATAATGTTTTGAGGTTATAACCCTCCATTAGCAGTTCTGCCTGGCGCATGTCTGTAGATTGCTGCAAATATCACTATCCAATTCGCTGCAAGGCAGACAAGTTTGTCAGCAAGTTCGTTCCCAGCTAAGCCTTCGTTCCCGGTACCCAAATAAGTGAACTCGGTTGGAGACTGACAACCGTTCTATGCACTCCTGTACTCATAGCGATTTAATCCTATGAGATATTGCAATCGCTTGCGGTCAAGCTTTCTTTCGTACTCCTAAATAACCAATCAATCGGACTAAAACTAGGAAACAAGTTAGTTATATTATAAATATTACTTAACGTTACGTAAAAAACTTACACATTTACTTACACACGGTAGTGCTAGAGAAATGCTAGATATATTGTAATGGTAAAAGTTCATTTCTTTGATGGAAGTTAACTTTAATGAGCCGGATCGTTTGATCAATTTTGACCCATACTTTTAACTTGTAAGAAACATTTGTAGACTAAAAAGTTAATATTTTATTTTTAGTTTTTATTGTAGTATTCAATTCCTTTGTATCCTCTACCATAAAAACCAATAAACTGAAGTAAACTAAAGTTTAACCATTTTAAAACATTTAAATAAATTTATATATAAGAATTATACATTATATATATGTTCATCTTTTTCAGATATAATATTTAGGTAATTCATGTATAGTACTATGTATAACCCATTAATCACAGAACAACAAAGCATCTATTGTTCATTGCATTCGTACCTGTTAATTGGATCATAACTGTACACACGTTCCTCTACTTATGCGCAAAGTGGCTCGTTGAATGTAAACTAATTACACATATTTTCTACATAAACGATTTTCCAAAGGCTGATACATAAGTATGGCAGGTGTACGCCATTAACTGGCAAACAAACTCCCATCTGTGCATAGTTGCATAAGTGCATTATATTTCATTTACATATTTATACGAGTATAGATAGGTATGTATACATTACTACCATGGTTAGCATTTCCATAAATAAGTGCTACAAATATTAAGTACTTAATTAGACGCTTACCTCACGGTGTTCTTGTATTCGACAATATTAATTAAAGTTAATAAAATGCATAGCCAAGGTAAAGAGCCAATAAAAATGACAATGAAATTTGTTTCTACGAGTAGTATATCATAAATATTCACTTTTAAATATATATATGTTAGGTAGTTGTATTATGCCTTGGATACATAAATTTGCTTTGAAATAGCGTTTTGAAAAAATTTTATACTGTCGGTCATTGTAAAGCTTGGAATTTTATTAGTTCTATTTTTTTTTTTTTAATTAAGATTTTAAATGCCTAAGATTGCACCACGGTAATCAAATAAAACGATGTACCTCACTATTATTTTTGATAGACTTTGACGTCGTTTTTTCGGTTTCGGCTCATTTTTGAACAGTTTCGACGTCATATTTATAAATTCTCGTCTTATACCTAAGTAATGATGCGTTTGATGAATATAGGGACCAAGAATCTCTTTTGCGACCTCTCTTCGACGTCGTTGTTGAAAAAAACTTAGGTCTTTTGGTACGAGTCTAGCATTGACACGTCTTATATGCAAAACATTATCCAAAATGTATTCAGTCGATCCATAAGAGATATTAAGCCCCTCGGATGCCAACAAGACTATTTTCAAGCACTGTTTTTTAACGTCATTATCAAAGGTGGATGGACATCAATGATTTCTCGACCGTTACTAAATGCTTTGTGCCAAAAAAATACTTGGGTTCGAGGTAAAGTAGACTCCCCAAAACACTTCTGCAACATTTTTAACTATTCCGTAGCCGCGATTCCTTTGGAATTTGGAACAAAATTAAAGCAAACTCGTTGTTAATTTTTTTCCATTGTAAAAATCGCCAGAAATTCTTATCGCTTCGTAAACAGACAGCTGCCGAACCCACACTAATTGACATATGGATATCAAACTTCACACGAACTTTAAAAATGTGGTATCAATCTAAAAAATAAATACCATCCATTTCGCTTACGAGATTAGTTTAAATGGACCAGTCCTAATTCAAGTTTGACGTTGAGTATATAAATGTTTAAATCTATGGTAATACATATATAGTCGTTTTTTGGGATTCACAAAATATGATCTACATTGACTACTTGAAGATAATTTTGAGCGAAGACTATGTAGAGAAATATTATATATCTCCATTTCCCCAATTTTCTTTTTCTCTTTTATAGGCTAGGAATTTATCGCTCCATCCTCTTTATATGTAAATATTTGTGATTATAGTAGATAAGTACCATATTTCCAGTGAGTCCTCTTACATTTAATTAATATAATATTTCTCAATGCAGAAAATGTATTGATTATGATGCACTTTGGTGAAATCTAGTATTTTCGCATTTTCTAACATACCCACAAAAAGTTTTTGTATCCACATACTTTTGCATAGCAGAGAAAATTGTAAAAGAAAAACCAAACTTTCTAAAAGTCAAAGCTGCACATGACCAAACCTTTGGCGAAGCTGTATAACTCACCTGGCTTATGAACTGCTTATGCTTTTTTAGATAAAAAGTAGAACTTCAAGATTTGAAGAAAACGGCTAACCGAGTTATATATTTTTATTTATAAATAACTATTTTTCGACTAGAGTATTGGTGCTTTGCTACATTTATATTAAAAGTTTAAACTTCTCTGCATTACAGGTACGTATTTATTAATTCAATTTGGAATATATTTTCACTGATGTATAAGATAAATATTTATGAAAATTTTTCCTAACGTAGGATCTTGAAAATAATTTAGTATGCCTAAATGTTTTCTCAAACTGCTCTCTTTGAAGTTTAGCTAACTAGTGAGGTAGAATTTTTTCTCTCTGACTACCTAGCTCTATGTCTGGCTTTCTTCCGAATTGGTCCGGTAGCTGCCTATGCGAATTTGACAAGGAACACGACAACGCTGCAGTCGTTTCATCAATGCATAATTTGAAACACCAATTAATAGGAAAAGTCAAATTTTTCTGTCACTATTATCTGATACCAAAATACCACATAAAATCTAAAGCTGAAGAACTTATATTACTTCGAACGACTTAACGTTACCTAGCGTGAGATATTTCATTATATCCTCGCTCCAGCCTCGTTTCTCTATCTGGTTCAGAAAAAGCGCTCAGTTAAAAAATTGTTAAATGTAGAGCAGTAAATTTCCTACAAAATGAAATAGAGAATGTAAGACGGAAGACCTTCCCGTTACAATTAAGGGCTCATACTCAGAGAGAATTTTTTAGAGGTGTCTAAGAACCTATTGTTTCAAATTACTAAACGAAAAAACGTTTTTTAACTAGTTTGGTGTTCATTGGAAGTTCAATATTGTGCTGAACAATATACATGTGTAAATTAAAATTTCGTCTGAGTTTTTAGGCAATTAGAAGGTTGACTATTTATATATCGCCTTATAACAGACAATTCGAAAAAAGACGTGACCCAACAGTGGCGTCTCAATTTCAAAGCCGGGGAAATACATTCAGGTGTTGGCAAAGTTATATACTTAAAAATGTTGTGAAAGAACTCAACATTGATTGTTTGACGAAACCGTGTGGTTTACAATCAAATTTGTATCTTATTATATTATATTAAAAACATCATCAAATAAGACATATCTGACATAAACTAATCGAAGAGGCTAAATTTAATATATTTAGATGCAAAACGTCTACCAGAAATCGGAATTCATTACATTAGGGATATGAGGTATGGACCAAGGTTTAAACCAATTACATTTATATTAAGCGCTAAGCCATATGGTTTTTAGAAAAACTTGTCCATTTAACAACAATATATATTAGAAGTAAAGTCAACTAGATGTTTAAAAATCCTGATATTAGATGTATGAGGTCTAGGGCAAGTTTTCATTCAATTGTATAGATTTTAGGCACAAAAATGCAGCGTTATTAGAAAACCACGCTCTCTCAATTTCATTAGGATCACTTAAAATGCTGCATGAGGTTCCGAAATTTTTGATATAGTACGCCTAGTATCAGAAAAGGATTCTCTTTGGATTACTATAATATATCTGTGGAGTCAACACATTCGTTATATGAGGACTTGAGTAGTCTTGGTTCGATTTGGGTAAATTTTCGTCATAAGTTGGCACACCTCAAAGGCACTATAAATTGTACTGTACCGTAGGTATGTATGTTAGGATAATTATTACCTACCGAATTTGGTTGAAATCGGTCAAGTAGGTCCCGAGTTATGGGTTTTCACCTAAATGTGGACGGTGTCACGCCCATCGTTCAAATTTGACAACAGCTTCTATAAAACCTTTTTGCACCATCTCGGGTATAAAATTTTATATCTCTGCGCGATTATGTATTGTATTTATAGATTTATCGCACTTATAGTAGTTTTTAACAAAACCGTTGTTGGTGAGTGGGTGGGCTTATTATCCGAATTTAATCATTATCACGGGGTGGATAGGGTGTATGTTATTATATTGAATGGTTTAGGATATATGTACATTAAACTTATTAGAGATTAAACTATTTAACACCCGGTCATCCGGATTTCATAACAACATAACAATGCTTTCATTAACTATAATTTAATTACTCACACATTATTCCAGGTAACCGAATTGATATCTTCCTTACTGGTCATGCATCTCGCGAACACCACCAACACTGTCACATCAAAGAAAGTATTCTGCATTGTTGGCATCGCCATACTACACATCACAGCCAGCAGTTTCGACCAGTTCTTCATGAATGTGGTGCGAGGCGAAGGTTATGCGCATCAAATAGTACGAGATATCGGCTTTATGGTGCCAGATATACTGCAATTAATCATACCATTGTGGCTCTTCCGCAAGACGCGTAAGGAATCGTACACAACACGTCCCTTTTACCGAGACCGCAATCTGCACAAAGACATTGTGGCGATGTTATTCTTCGTGCTGGCGCTCTTTGTTGTCTGTACGATTTTGTGAGATAGAATTTTCCAATACCTACAGATGATGAATAGTGAGGAGGAAGCGCGTGCAACGAGACGTATGAATCTGATGGCTCGACTATACTTCAATGTGTAAGGTAAATAATGTATACACTATACATATATACGTCTGTCTGAGTTACAGCAACAACAACGAAGTGTTGAATTGAGCTGTAAACGCTTGATGGTTGATGCTGATGAAGAGTTCCGAGGTTGCGGCGACACACTTTTTGCTGAAACTTAACGTTGGCGTGTAAGTCTAGATGTAGTTAGTATTAGCAACAAATACAAATAAAATATATTAAATACGTACTTATTTACTTACATATATATATATACATATATACATATTTACTTATACTTAGACTAGTGTAGACCAAAAAAAAAAGTTTTCCCCTCTCTAACCTTGTGATAACTGTGTTTCTTTGATATTCTTAGATTTTAACAAATTTAATCATATTTATTTAAATTTTTTTACCGTAGTGACTATTATTTAGGTTCCCTAGGAAAAAAATTAAATAAGCTATACAATATTAGAAGAGAGAGGGGGTTTAGCTGTCATTCACACACTTACATGCATTTTGTCAAATATTTTTAAACACTGAGTTGCATTTTTTGAAATTATACTAAAACTACGCTCCGTTGCGCAATACCGTCTTTTTCCACCTTGATATGACTCAAGTCCACAGAAAGCAACGTTGGTAGATTATATTTAGGTCTAGTAAAAGTAAAGTAATTGTTTTTCCAATAGATGGCTTTAGTAATCGGTATCGCACGTTGTATTCACTTCAAATTTCGTGCTATAAACACTTCTTAGACGGTTTCGTAATTGCTTGACTCAGTATATTTTGAACAAGGGTGAAATATGGTCACCAGGAAAGAGAAACTACGCCAAATTTTTGAGTTTTTTTCCGATGACGCTATGGAAAGTCAATTGTCGAAAATATCGATTAATGAATGTAAACCTTTTAGTCCAACCGTGATGTAAGCATTGTTTCAAGTGCCCAGAAGTTAAACCTTGTAAAAAAACAGTTTGAAACAATGTATAGGTGTCACACGAGTTCCGTTTATTATCCGTTAAATAGAACCAAATAACGGCAGGTTGTTTCATAAACTTCGGTTATAAGTTCTTCGTCTTTGAAGAAGAGTTGAGGTTTCGATACTAGACGAATTTATATGGTACTAATATTAATGGTAGTTTTCAAAGTTCTCCACTTAGTTGTATTCATAGGACAATTTATACATTGTCTCTAACGCTCATACTGCTACTAGCGCTAAATAAAATATCAGAGTGGACCGTAGACGGACGAAGGATATAAATACATACCACATATATGTATATATATAAGATCAGAGTGAATAATATTTATTAATACCGACAACTAAAGCAGTTTAAATTGTATAAAGCGCTAGAATATAGTTGATCCAAAGAATTGTTACGATTACATAAAGTACACCAAAAACCATCCTCAGAGAATCAGAGAAGTCACATGAATAAATCTAAAAAACTAAGAAAAAACCAAAACTTTCAAAGTGGCACTAGGTAAATAATAATATATGAAGTTAACCGAGATTTTAAGGAAGCCCTATTTAACTAATTACAATATTATGGTCTGGAAACCTCCTCTCACAGGAAGGACTGCGTCAACTACTACAGTGAGCGAAGCCTAACTATAACTGAATATATTTAAGAAAGACACAACCTTCTGCTAAACTTATTCAAAATATTATTTCACCAGCTAGATTTATTTCCAATAATTAAGTACATTAACAAACATGCTCTGTGCTAATATTCAGATACTCAGTTTTTAATATATTTGACAGAATGATTTTAGTTGTGTAAGATATTGGATGAACTAGCTAACAAATATAATTAACGAAATCTACAATATTAGACTTATAACATTTATATTAAGAATACTTAGTTTCAAAAATTTTATAAATTTAGAGAACAAATATTAAAATGGAGTCATATCATAGCACAACTTTGTACACCGTAGATGACACTTAAAAAGTTCATAGCCCACGTACATGTATATATATATACTCGTTATGCATTAGTAAGTACATATGTAGTATTGCATATCAATATACTTATATATGTATAGTTACTAAATGTGTTAATAATTTAAGTTTAAAACAACTAGTTTAGCAGTTATTATTTCAGTATTCCAAAAGTTGAAGCCCATAAGTCCTTTCGGGCCATTGAGAACAGAGTTGCCCAACAGGGCTCAGGGATTGTGTCATCGTTTTAATTATTGCTCTTACGAAAATCCGGTGCTTGCGTTAATAGAATCAAATAGGGCAACAGTTATGTTTAAATCAATGAGATACATCTAAACTATGGGTTATGCACCCCTGATAATGACCAAAACGTCAGGTTCCAAAACTTAAGAAAATGTGGAGTTGTAAGTGATGTTTCATTATCATACACAGATTTTATTCCACAGTTCTCTTTTGTAAAATCAAAAGTTTTTTCTTTTCCTACTCCGGATATAGAAATTAACGGAGTTTCTTTCAATACATAATCAATTTTATTATTTATAGTGGTTTATGTAGCTGCTGAAACAAGATATACATATGTGAGAGACCTCAATCTTTTAGCGGGTTCTTGGTTTTTATTTCGTAGCTATTTGCCGATTTTCCACATAGCGGTATTAAATTAAGTATTATCATGCTATTTGGTCTGGAGAGTAGGAGAGTTTGGCAAGAGAATAATACGAGTCTGTACCTCACTTTATAGCTGATAAGCGTGATGCTGAAAATGAACTCGTTGAAACATCACCAGATTTCAAGTCATCGACTTTGACTATGTTTTAAAAGAAAATACCCTTATGCTTCCAGTAGAATATTTTCTATTTTCTGTGAAATTAAGGTTCAGAGCGGAAATCTATAAAATTTCTTGACATATTATTCTTTTAGCCATTAGCCATAACCTTACAAGTATTACCCGTTTGTTGAAGTGATCTAACTAAGAAATGCTGGGTATAAAGCTAAACACATTGTGAAGTCTATCACAAGATATCAAATAAGTTTGAAGAAACTTAAAAGTAAACCATACATAAAACTTATTATAGTATCAGACATTACTACATGATTTTTTGAGTTTTTTCTTTTTATTTAATATTTATTATTAATATGTCTAAGCTAAGACTTACTGAAGTTTTAATTCGTTTCATATTATATGAAGAATATATCCGCTTTCACTGTTTAGAAAAACTCAAATCCTTTTACTGTTACATTTATAATTTTTGTTACTGGTTAATATTGATTTTAGTAGAAAAACTTTATTAATTTAATAACCTCAAAATCGCGTTACACACAAAGAAAACCAAACAGTATTGAAAACTCTCAGATAAACCAAATAATCTAAGAATTTGTACAACCTTGAGGAATCGTGTTGATGCAAATAATACAACTCGAACTAGAATATGAAAAAGTGAAATATTTTTTAGCAATCATATCATAACTTTATACAAATAATCTGCAATAAAGTGTTGAATTAATTGAAACTTCGAATAAATAAATATAAAGTTACAAAAACCAATTCAAATTTAAGCTGACCAAATTTAAGAATTGAGCACATATCGAGATATCGCTACAAACATGCATATAAAGAATATCAAAACACATATGTACATATATAATTATCAATAAACAAATAAATAGCCAAATACCATTCTAAAAGCAAGAAGACATAAAATACTTTAAAAATAAAATATAAAAGCTAATTTCTATGTTTGAGAAAGTCTGATAGACGACTATGTACTGTGCATGGGTACAACTGAGTATGAAGAACAATTCTTCTTAATAATACTAATTTTTGTGGAAATTTATTTTAAGATTGAAATAAAGAGCAATCGATTCTTTTCGTCATAAGATTCGTCTTTTGACTCCCATAAGTTAACCTCTCTATGGTTTTTACAATTAATTTCCATATTATTGTTTTTCGCGTATATATCTTCATAACTTTGGTAAAAATCATACCCAGAAATCGTTTACCAAATTTAGTCTGCCCAAGTCTAGTGATCATCTTATATGGCGATAACAATAACAGCGAAGCGATTGGAATTGAGGAAAATCCTGCTTTACTGAGACATTTTTGTATTTCTATTGCTTTTTATCCCCAATGAATGATAAAATAATTAATATAGCTCCGACTTTTTATAGAAATTCGACAACTCTAAGGCTTCATTTGTAATATTTTTGGGGCTAAGGTTATAGTTTTTAAATAGATAGAGATTATTATCTCATGCATATTGTAAAAATTATAATTAAAAACTCGTGAGGATAAAAAAACTTGAGTGGCATTTATAATTTTTATTTTATAACAAATGGTAGTTTTCATACCTTTCATCTTACACCAGCTACCCATTCAACCTGGAGATTACTTGTAAATTTTTCTAGTATTTCACCGAATAATACAATGGTATGAAGAAATATCCTTTCGAATAATTTTTCTCAGGTTCGAAAGCAAAAGTAATATTAAAACCCGTTTTATCAAGCTTCGATAAGGAGATCTCGAGGCAATGACTTTAACTAACTGAGAAATCAACATACTACATCCCAGAATTGACGCGTCAATTGTAAAAGAAGTGTCGAGGGTGCTAGCCTCCAGAAATTCCACGTCTTGCTTTAATAAATGTTGAAAAGACTCTTTTCACAAAAGTTTTATTAACCATCTTCTTAAAGTATGAAAATCTTTACAATTTCTTGGAATCGATCAAATTAGATATGCGCTTTCCAGGTTTAGATTTGTGAACAGTGATACATGTCTTTCTCTTTTTAGGGGAGCGTGAGCTCTGCAAAGTCTTTAGATGGTATTCAATTTCTTTCCATTTCCATTTAGCTTCCATATTTTTTTAGTATGAAACTAATTGTGGGCGATTTATGAGCACACAATAAAATCGCCATGCACCTCATACATATACTACCAAATTGCATACTAGTATGTGTATATAATCTATCTAAAAACAAAAAGATATCACAAACTTAATAATGTATGGGTAAATATATACCAACTTACTGAGAAAATAATTTAATTTTGAAACTATAATTTACAGAAAATATTAACCTTTTCATAATCAAATAAAAAACAAATAAATTGGAATATGTGCATTGATTGAAGGCCTCATGTGAATACAGACACATATATGATATACATAACTATATACAAACTTTTAATAACAAAAAAGTTTATCAAAGGAAAATGATGGTTTACCTTTCGAATTTGCGTATTTAATCACAGTGGAATTTAAAGAGTGGATTTTGCTAATTTTACGATATTTTTACATTTTTTATACAAACATATTAATAAATCGTGTATAACACACACACAATGAGAAATATATAATATAAATAATTTAAATTTAAATTTAAATATAAATAATAGAACTTATATCTCCAAGCATATGCATATATACTATACATATACAAATATACAAAGTATATATATGTATGTATCAATAATAATAACTGGTTATACATAGTTAAATGCATATTAGAAGAGTCTTACCATGAAATACAAAATTTATACTCATAATTTATTTACTTAAATTTACATTGACACATGATGGTTAGCTCCCTAGGATTTAGAGAATCAAAATTAGTTTATATGTGTAGTAAAAACATTATATTCAAAAATTATATTTAGAAATAACCAAAAAAGTGCATACCTTCTAGGGTACATACAAACAAACATATGTAGTGTGCAAGAAAAACAAATTTTTATGTATAATATTGTTACATAATACAAATATTATAACTAATTAGCACAATAATTGACTATGAACAATATGAAAAAACAATAAACGTTAATACATAGATACTTACATATAAAAGTTAGAAATTTTAGACATAAATTTCGAAATAAATTTGGGTTTAATTGATCTGTAGCGAACGAGTTATGTTCTCATTAAATTTATTGAATAGTAAGTATACGAAGTTTTTAATAAAATTAGCTCCTAAATAGTCGCCATATGTAGACCGCTTTTTTCAAACTCACTTTTCGTGATTTTAATAATTTTTGCGATTTTTTACGTTTGGGGTTTTACGATCTTATAGTGAATAAGAATTCAGTATTCTTGATTGAATTATAAAAGTTTATAAAAAAAATACCATTGGTTAATTAGGTAAGTAAACAGGAAAAAACGTTAACTCCGGTTGCACCGAAGCTATAATACCCTTCACAGACACAAAGGTTCCTTACAATAACTTGATTCAGATCGAATTTCGTGAATCGGCAATAGAAAATAAAATCTAAACAATTTTTTTGGAGATTCCATTGTTGCTTTAAATAATAATCCATGCCTAATTTCGTGAAGATACCTTGTCAAATGAAAGAGTTTTCCATAGAAGCACTTGATTCCGATCGTTCAGTTTGTATGGCAGCTATATGCTATAGTCATCCGATCAAAACAATTTCTCCATTGTTACCTTAGCAAATAACTCATTCCAAATTTCGTGAAGATATTACGTCAACCCTGTTCAGGGTATAAAAAGAACTAAAAAAAAAAAAAGAAAATACCTTTACTTCGGCTGCCTCGAAACTATAATACCTTTCACAGGTTCATTTCTTATAGCAACTATATGACTAAAACTGAAAACTTAACCAGTGGTTTGCACCCAACGAAAAACATATTCTAGTTCCTTCTAGCCACATTATTTGACATAAAAAACTATCAAGTAGATTTAACGTTATTTAATAAGAAAAAGATATCCTTTATGAAGATTTTTATCTTGATTCAAGTTGAATCAGTTTGAATTGCAGCTATGATGCAGTTTTGCAAATTTTATTCGAAGATTGTAGCGTTCTCTGGGCCAATAACACTGGTAAAAAAAATTTAATTTTTTTGTTTTATGAAGTTTATAAACTGTTTCACACTAATTTGACGTCGCTGATTTTAAATCTACCCTCAGTTTCTTTCTAGCAGCTTTAGTTTTAGTGTTACAGGTACTTCATGAAATATCGTGACTCGGCTTACTTGAATTAATTTTTAGGGCAAAAAATTACTAAATTTCATAAATAAACAGATATGACTACATTAATAAGAACTTGTTTAAATTATCTGAAAAGTTTTTGTGCTGTTTGTGGTGACTATATGTTTAGAGAATGCGTCTGAATCTATAAAAAGGTCTATTTGTTATGGTGAAAATGAAATGCATAGAGACCGCATTATATTACCCCCCTCTCATACGAGGTTTGTTCAAAAAGTATCACTCATATTCCTTACTTATGCTGTCAAGGTCGGCCATTTTGAACAGCTGTTTTGCTTGCACGCGTTTTGGTTCGTCTTCGATTTTTGTTTATTCCAAAAAATTGATCAAAGAATTTGTATAAATTTTTGTGTACAAAGATAGGTCTGATAAAACAGTTTGTGAAAGCTCTAAAAAAGGATAGGGAATGTTTTAAATATAATATATTAGTAAAATATTTCCGAAATTGAGCACAGCAAAAATTGAAGCTGGTATTTTTAACGGTCCTCAAATCAATGAACTAATAAAGGACCACCATTTTACTGATTGTATGACAGATAAGGAGAAATCTTGCATCTTGGATTGAATTTATTTGGGTTGTGCAAAATTTCTTAGGAAATAAAAGTCTCCAGACTACATTCAACAATTTGAGCACCTCATGTTACACTTACTAGAGTGAAACATGAGCATCAAGATGCACTTCCTCGTCAGCCATTTAGACCGGTTCCCAGAAACTTTAGGCGACTTAAGAACATAGTGCGCTTTCATCAGGATATTCGCACTATGAGAGAGCGAGACCAGGGTCGTTGAAATGCAAATATAATGGCTGATTACTGTTGGAGCATTCAAAACAATACAGATATTTCTACTCATGCAAGAAAAGCACACAAAAGAAAGCACTCGGGGCTATTACGCTATACCTCTTAATGTCTCCTCAAGATCATATGTATAGTAAATCCGCAAACTCACAGTTAAGGAGCACAGCGAACTCCTCTCCGCGCAGTTTCTGCTGGAATGTTTGCGCATAAACCTATGTAGATCTTGAATTACCCTGAGAAACCAAGGAAAGCCTTCGGCAATTACTTTCTGGATTTTATAGTAGAAAAAATACTACTTATTGAGAGGTTTTTAGAAGCCACTATCCTTGTACGTCTTTTTATGTCAATCACTTCAAGCGAAAATAACAATAATTCTTTTACTCAAATATTTCGAATTTTGTGCCTGAACAAGCGTTCTTCCTCGGAGTTCTTTTTCATTACTTTAATGTCCTCAACCGAAAATCATAGTTTGCATGATTTAAAAGTGATGGAGTTTGGCTTGGACGACGAGCTCACAAAATATATGGGAGTTCCTCAAACAGCCTTTCAAAACGCTTAAAAGCAGCTGGATACATTCAAAAACAAGGAAATCGGGTGCCATATGAACTGAAGCCAAAAGACGTTGAAGACGATTATCATGTCAGAAATGCCGCTTGACGCTACAAAAATAAGCCGTTTTTATTCTGTATTTGGTGAGATCAAAAGGGCGTGCTTATTGGCATCCAAAACTAGGGCCCGAATTGTGGCACTCGTTAACAAGCGAACTTCTTGTATTATTTTGTTTTCGGATCGCGGTACATTTACGAAAATTTATTTTACAGTGCGGCGATCCGGTTACTCGGCACGTTACGAAATTTCACTCCATACGATTACTCGCTTGTTAACGAGTGCCACGATTCGGGCCCAAGTGAAACGATTACTGAGCAACGCCACTGACAACAAATCATCAAATTGAAGCGAGCAATTGCCGAAAAACGCCCGAAATTTAGTCCCGAAGGCTATTGGAAAACAGCGGCTGGAAAGTTTATGCTCATCCGCCTTGTAGCCCAGATCTTGCCCTTTCTAACTACCACTTGTTTCGGTAGATTTAGTACACCCTCACTGGAATACGGTTCACATCAGAAGAGGGTATCTAAAAATTAGGTTTATTTATTCTTTACAGCCAAGACGAAAAATGTTATAGCTACAGATGGGAAATACTTTGAATATTACTATTGTTCACGTTTTTCTCAAATAAATCTTTAAAACCCGCACGAATATACTTATAGTATATAAAATTTTTGAAGAGATTTGGCAGTATTTAGAAGGTTCAATGAAGATCGTCCACAGCACTCTTTCGTTTAAAATCCGGTGTTCGATATCCGAGTACATACATCAAGAGCGTGCTATTTAGATGTGTTTGAGCCATCACATCTTCAAAACACCTTAACCTACGCCTTATTAAATTTAAATAAAAGAAAAGTATTTATTGTGTGTGTATTAATGAAAATTTATTAAAAATTAATACCTATTTCATAACAGTATGATTTATGAACTTCTAATACGTTGTTGTTACTTTATCTGTTGCAATTTGTTTACAATCCACTTTTTGTGCCTTAATACGAGTACTTAGCTGAATTTCATATTTTATATGGTCGATAATTTTTCGTTTCAAAAATGAACTACATAGACAATTTACACAATTTGTTAAAAACTCTAGCAATTTCAGAATACAACTTTTTAAAAAATAGATTTAAGTGTAGTAATATATATATATATATATTCCAAATAATTATGCGCACAATTTTCTATGTGAACCGTTTGAGTTGTTTTATAATTTTAAAAAATTTGTACAAGTAATTATATTAGTGTAGCCATTTAAATTATTTGATTCACAATTGATTTCTTTTTCCTAGACAGAACCCGAATACAAATATTCTCTTATATAACAATGAATAGAAAAAGTTTGAAAAATATATTTAAAATAAATGAAAGAGTTCGTTTTTTCTTCTTCGTATAAAGTATCAGTATTTTTTAAAGTATGTATGAATACTTATAACGTATGTCGATGTGAAAGTTGTTTATGATTTAATGGAATGTACGCGTATTACAACAATTCAAATCAAATGCACTTTACTTAATGGGTTTCATAAGTTGCCGTTACAAATGACGGTATCAATTTTACAACACACACAGCAAATGTCAATCGAAAATAGTGGAAAAGCACAAGTTAATTATTACTTTATTACTTAAAAGACATTTCTGAAATTAAATTTCTTACTTAAAGCACAAAAGCCTTTCGATAAAAACCAAAAACATTTATATAAAAAAATATTTCAAAAGGCTTACATATAAAAATTGTAGAGATTCGGTACACCTTCTTTACTTTTTGCTTTCTTGTTGTTGTTTGCTTAATCATATTTTTTCACGCAAATTAAATTTAAAAAAATTATATTACTATAAAAACTTAAAATAAAAAAAAATGGACGGTATAAAATTACGTTTGAGAGATGCCTATATTTTGAAAGTTTGTTTTCCAAAAACTAACATATAAAAGTTTTTTTAAAATACGCAATGAAAACATAAAACCAAACGACGAACTTAAAGTCAGCAAGCGAGCACAATACAAAAAATTCAGCAAAAGAATGACCACAAAAAATACAATTATTCAAACATCCAGTTGGAAGAAAAAGTAAGTGGGTCTACATGTCTGGCAATATTTGTATATGGTATATGCCTTTTGTTTTTTGTTTTATTTTGTGTAGATAAGAACACTTGACTTTTTAGGAATACCGCGACGTCTAAGACCTTTCTGCGAATTGTACCACTTCCAACTGGTATTTTCTTATTTCAAAATTGGCAGTGTGACACGCAACGTCCAATGAGTAATGTTTACACTTTAGTTCCGCTTAATTTACTGTGCTTTGTTTTTTTATATATATATATATATATATAGTTTTTTTTGATCGCCATATGTTGATTTTCGTGTTCAGTTAAAAGAATCGCTATTCACTTAATGAATACTGCCTTCATGTCAGCCAAATTTTTTTATGAACTGCTACAACTACATAGCTTCGTTTTCAATTTTCACACGCATTTCGTTATACTTCTCTATGGCTAAACGTCTGCGTCGCCGTTTGTCATGTCATGCTTAATATAATTACATAATTATTATGTGTACAATATGTTTTACGCTACTCTAATTCATCGATTTATTTTTGAAAACCCCATTCAACAGTTCCTCCTTTTTATACGTGTAAGTTTGTGTGGGTATGTGTGTGTGTGTGGGTGCGTAAGCACACGTGCGTTGTATAGTTGTGATTGCAAGGTTGCAGCAGGCTGTGTAGAGTTGTAGCTACCGCGTTGACTACGTGCTCCAATTGCCTATATGCTGCATACCAAACTATATGAACCACTCTTTCCGTTTTGTCACTTGATGGCCGGTTCTCGAGTGCAAAACGGCCTCGTCTTGGTCATCGGCGTTGTTGGCGCCCTCATCTTCGTGCGTCAGATAATCGCCTTTATGGCGGTGCACGTAACGGCCTATTAAGAAGATCATGAGCAGCAACAGCAGTAGCAGTATAACCAAAATGACTAAAACGAAAGCGATGTATATAAGTAAAAGTGGTTTTTAGAGACTTAACGTGTGTCAGCACTCACAGCCTAGTACGATAGAGAATCCGCCATAGGCCTTACGCAATTTATCCTCATCGACAAGGGGTGGTGGACGCGTTTCAATTTCAATGGGCGGATGTGTAACAGGTTCCACGCCACAAAAGTCTTCCGTTAATTGAGCTGCGTAGGAAATCAGAAATAATTATTTATGAAAATTCAATCGAAATGAGTTTATTAGCAACACTTACTGCCCAGTGATTTCACATTAGCTGGTGGATTCTGTTGGAACATTAGTTTCAGCGGATAGATATCATCGAATTGCACACGTGACACACAACCCACAAAACCGTCTGTCATCGATTCATTTTTGCCTATATACATATATTGTATGTTGTTGAATTGCGCATCAGCACTTGCTTTTATATCGAAATGATATTCGACTGGCTCGTAGTTGTCCACTGTAAGCACCACCGTTGAGCCGCCATTTTTACGAGAGAACCGCACATCATGGTATTGACCCAAACCGAAATGTTTCTTGGGGAAAATAATCTCCTGACGCTCAAAACCGAAATCGAAAACACAGCGCAAAAAACCTGCAAAGGCAAATTCTGTGTTTAGCATGCGAAAATCAATAAAAAAGTATTGGCTTTTCGTAAAACCCGTTACACCCACCTGAATTCGATATTTGTATCGTTAAATATTCACCAGTCAAATTTGACGAGAAACCGAGCAGAAAACCTTTGGGTATTGTTGTTGTAAATCCAACGCGTATATTTTCAGCAATCGTCGAACGGAAGGAGCCCTCAAACTCATAGCGTATAATAGAGCTAGTGCGCAAGTTGACGCCAATTTCTAAGCAGACAAATAAACATGTTAAACAAGCGCTATTTACTATAAACAAGGTAAGTTTACCATCAGCACAAATCGGTCCTTTGAATGCGCTCCAACGGCAGTCGCAGGAGTAACCATCATAACGTTCTATGCACGTGCCATTATTTAGACAGGGGCTGGACTCGCAACGGCCTACACAGTCGGCGCTCACGCCGTACAGACCACGTAAGGCATACTGTTTTAGATCCACCATTTTACCGTTAAGCAACAAAGCGCGTATGCAACCCACATAGCCGTCACGATACTCCGTCGTAGCGCCAATCACCAAATCTGATGTGAGATGTAAGGCGCGTACTGGACCTGGTGGCTCACGTACCTCCGCCTTGATGGAGCCGTCAACGACGAGACGAGCTTCCTTGCTGTTAAGGAATTTCGCAAACATTTTAATGGAATTTTAGGTAAATTAAGGTAAAAAAAAATTAAATGGTACACACCGATTGCGCTCCACGCTCACTGTGTGCCAGTGATTATCGTTCAAATGATAGCTTGTGCCCACATTTACGCCAAGTGGTCCACTGCCCGCTTGATATTGGAACTGTAGTTTGTTGCCACCGTTTATGCTTAGCTTAATATAATCAGTCGGACCAGTTGCATGGAAGAGTACAGCATTTTCTTGTGTCGTCTTAAACTCCAAATAAATATCACCCGAATGACCCATATCGAATGGCGGCAAATTAATGGTGGAATCGGCAATGCGGAATGTCACCACATTGGTGAATAGATCGTCACCTTCGCAACGCAGCGAACCCAATGTGTAACGCCCTTGTTTCTCATCGAGCGGTGTGCCAGTGTCACCGAATTTCACTGCGCGCACCGGTAAATGCTCCTTTTCACGTATGTCGCCGCCATCCTCAGTCCATTCGAGACTATTCGAATCGCAATTACACCATTTAGTTGGATCGTGACATTTGCCCAAAATGCCGCACTCACATTTACGCGAACCGGGCAGTGCGCCAGCCCAATAGTCCATAGGTTGATTGTGGCGGGAAACCCACCAAGAGAAGGGACGGAAATTGCCCGCTTCAGCTGTAAGTAGTATGTGAGAACATGTTAGTTTTAGCAACAGTTATTAGACACAAAAGCGAATACTAACAAGGCGAATTGAAGAGACGCGATGAGCGGCATGAATAGCTCAAACGCTGCCAGCAGGTGTGTGAGCGATTTAGTAGCGCCTCAATTTGCAACATATTGGCATCATACATGATATTCTGTTCAAACGAGCCTGGCTCCTGGAAGCCATCAACTGTGGTTGTGTGTTCTTGACTGTGACTGAGTGTGGTAATGACGCGACCATCGGCTATGAAAGACGAGGCGATTATAAAAATGAAGACGGTTACACTTTAAATATATTAAGAAAGCTTAATTTTTACTTACAATAGAACTCGCAAGTAACGGGGAACGGTTCCAACGGGCCACTGCCGTCAACGTCAATTTTCAAATTAACGCGCTGATTCACATGACCAACATTTTTGTAGGCCTGACACGAGAGTGGATTGTTAGCTACAGAAAATACATAATTAACAACAAACACTGCGTATAAGGTACTTCAAGAGCTTACATGTGTGACATACAGCGCCCGCATAGCCCGTGTTGGCACAGTCACAGAAGAACTCCATCGAATTCTGGTGGCAAACGCCACTGTGCTGACATGGATTAGGATTGCAACGATCAATCATTTGGCAGGCATCCACCACCACCTCATCACCGCAACACACCTCTTCGCCCTGCACCCAATCTTTGGGTAACTTATAATTGCCATCGACCAATATCAGACGCATGCAACCCACAAAGCCATTCTTATCCACACCGCCAGCGATGTAGTAAACTTTGCCTGTCGATATTTGTATTTTCTTCGTTGTGGTCATCGGACGTTGATCTATATCGAGTACCAAACGATTACGCCCAATTGTCAGCACAAACGAATGCCATTTGCCATCGTTGAATTGTTCATCGTAGTTGTCTAGTATGATGCGTGGTTTATCGCCCAGTTTCATGTCGATTTTCACCTTGCCAAATTCCAAAAATACACGCACATAACCGCCTGAAGCGAAATCATGATGCAGCATAATGCCTCTATCCTCGTAAGTGCGGAAATAGAAGGAAACATTCATTGTGCTTTGCGCTTCATAGCCCTTGATGCGCACATATGAGCCACGTGTGGTGAACGTAACCGGGTAAATGGGTGGCGAGGGGCACGCATAAACGGTGTGGTATTTTGTATAACGGTATGCATCTCCATACTCGAAACTGTCCTTCATCGCGCGCACGAAATTCGTCGAATTAATGAATATGTTTTCCATGCAGCCAGTGAAATTTTGTGTAACAATAATGCCTTCCTGAATATTGGGTACACCGCCGAGGTAGAGCTAAAAGCATAAATCAATTGTATTACATTTATTGAAAAAAAAGTAATCATATCCTAACTACTTACCGCGCGATTCAAATTCAAGCGCGTGAATTCGCCTTTAATGCGTCCACGTACTATAACACGATCCACTGAGAATATAATATCACGGCGATTGCGCGAGATCACCACATCGTGCCACACATTGTCGTCTAGCAGGCTGCCCACGGAGAGTGAAGTCATCAAACTGCTGCCCAAATCCAAATTCAATATCATTTTGTTATCCTTAAGCTGCAGAGCAAAATAATCGCCCTGTGTGCCGCGTGAGTACATAAGCAGTCCATTAGCGAAGGCGGTTTTGAAACGGAAACGTATTGATTCACGTGTGGACGCCACTGGCTCATACTGCAGATCATAAGTAACTAGACCAGTGCCATTGAAGTACAGGTTCTCGGCAACTAAGGTGAGAAAAGTGGCGAAATTAAAAGGTTTGCAGATTTCCTTATTTAATTTTACGAATGCGCATATAAAATGTCAGTCGGACTCACCATAATCGCAGCCATAGAGTTCGACACGCATTGAAATACGATCGTGCCAGCGTGTTGGATTGATACGCACCCACTGGGCAATTATGGGCACCTCGAAAACATTGTAGTGTATAGAGTTGCCATCGGAGTTACCCTTGAACATCTGTGGAAGTTTATGTTTTGTGTAATAAATATAACCTCTAAATTCGCGATACAAATAACATTTAAAACAAATACACCATAACCGTGAAGAGCGTAAAGACATGCAGTGATATGTAGATTTTATTGAACTGTCACCAACAGCAATTGTTAAGAAACAACACAATTACAAATACAAGACAGATCACATACATGAAGGCAAAATAAAGAAATATGAACACAAACAAAAAATAATAAATAACAAAAAAAATTCAAATACAAAAAATTTGAAAAAATTAAGTAAAATGAAATAAAAAAAAAACTTTAAATTAAATAAAAATTAATGCATAAATAGAAATAAAATCAAAAATAAACACAAAAATAAAACAAATTCAAAATTTACAAAATAAACAGCACTAAATACTAAAAAATTAAAAATATGTGCATACTCTTTACAATAAGCGATTTTTGCGATGGAATTTAGTGTCATAAATTCACATTTAATTTATGAATTTTTAAATACTTAATTTTTTTTTTTTTTTATTTTAGCAGGCATGAATTTTAATTCCTTTCAGATTACATAAATAATGTTTTTCAAATAAATATATTTTATATTTTTAGTAATACAAAAATTTTTTTGAAACTTCGCTTTGAAAAGAAATGAAAATTTATTATTTGGTAAGTATTTAATTGTCTTCTTTTGCAAATGAAAACTTTAATGTAAACAATAAAATAATTTATGTAAATAAACGTAAAAATAATTCTTATAAATAAAAATTACTATGTGATAAACATTAAAATTATTGTGTTTTAAATTAAATACTCCAAAGCAAAGTGTCAACCTGGGATAATAACGCTCTGTAATCTCTTCATATTAAAACTGTCATAACAAATTATACTTGAATCATAAAAAAGTTTTAATAACATGATCTACAGAGAAGTGTTCTCTTACGTTTCAAGATAAATCAATGAGTTTTAGAGTTCTAGTACATTAAGTGAGGAACTTAGGATATACGTCGTTTTAAACCGGTTACAGCAACAATCAGTAACTGAACAACTGAAAGGACCCAAATTTATGTACAGAAAAGAACAACCAATTCGACAGCAATCTTGATGATAGTTTCAAACATCATTTAATTCATAAACTGAAGCAACAGAGAATTCTATAATTGTGATGATGACCAGATGACTGATTGAGAAAGAAAGTGCTATAAACTACTTTGTAGCATTTTACCACATTTAAAACGTGTGGTAAGAAATAAAGGGTTTACAATGTTTACGAGATTTCAAAGCACTTAAGACTTCCATTTTCAGCACGAACATCTTTGAAAAACGTAAAAGATCGTAACAGAATGTTAGAAACCTACTTAAATATTTATGGAAAGTTGTAAACTTCTTTTTTGGATAATTACATCGCGTTTTGGAAAAGAGAATAATGAAATCAAGCACTTTCGTATGAGTTATTAAAATTAAAAATTCATACACGGAAAGGATTTTCGAAAAAAATATTAAACAATAAACGTAAACATTAATTCAAAAAGACACTTGAACAATTGGACAAGACAATACGATAATTCTAATTTGGTCAACTATCCACAAGCATCTACCTATACATTTTTAAAAAATCGTACTTTACCTGCGGCTCATTCGATGGATTCACATACGACCGCCAGTATTCGCCATCATCCGAATACTGCACAATATACTCGGTAACAAATTCTTGTGTATGCTTTCGGCCCATTGTGGCGATTTTGCGTGTTTTGCGTGCTTCACCCAGATCGAGTGTTAGAAAGTGATTGTAAGTATTCTCGATCGGTGTCCAAGCGGAGTCGCCTTTATTGTTAAGGTGTTATTTGTTATTTACGCAGCATTTTGTGTTTTAAATGTTAATATAAATAGAAGAAAGTGTGTAGCTGCTAGTGAGGCAGTGTGATATATCTATATACTTAGGGGTATATGGGGTGCATCGAGTGAGAGTTGCATTATTTGGTTTTATGATAAAATGCAACACTATGACGTTTTTATTGTGTTACAAATGTCATTATTTCGCAGCTGTTATTTGTTTTACTTTTTATTTTTTTTATATTTCTTTTTTTGTAACGCTACAACTCCGCCTTATACACACCATATACTTAAATTACATTGTTTATGAATTAATAGTTAAATTTATTGATAATTTGTTAAACACACACCACAAATATGCAAACCTCACTCACACCATGAAACAAAATAACTGGAAAATCTAAAAATTATTCTACAAAAATGTTTAAAGAACCAAAAAACTACACATTTTAATATTTTACTACTACAGAAATCTAATAAATAAAAAACCATAATAAATCCAAAGCAAATAATTAGAATAAGCGCATTAGCAGCATAACTACGGATTAGCACAATATTACCGTTACATAAAAAGAGGAAATACGTGTGAGTAAAAAGTGGTGGTAAGTCCTGCTGAGTGCAACCAAGCACCATTCTGCAGTAAGCCACTGCAAATATGTAAATACAGCTACTTACAGCGGCGTAACATATGTCAGTCTTGTGTCATATTTGGAATTGGAATGCAATTCTTCATAACTGTTCTGTCATGCATATATTCTTTACTAATAAGTTTCACTCACTTCTGTTATCTTTAATTACTTTTATGCTGTTTTTTTGAAGCCATTTACCTTTTTCATAAACCATTTTCAAAATATGTACAAATGTGGGTGTGTTGTTGACTGTTAATCTGGGGCTTACCTTAACGTTGCCACCTGGTTCTTTATAGTCGGCAAACTCCAAATCAGATATACCATAACTAATTGAATATTCGGTAACATACTCATCGCTGTGCGGTCGTCCTTGCAATGCGATGTGTGTCACATTTCTCACATAACCCAAATCGATGATAAGCCGTTGATCGAAATCGGAATTTTTCGCGGACCACGAAGTACCGGCTTTACAAACGTATATGTATACATACATATGTACATGCATGGACGTCGTGTGCATTTATTGTGAGGAAGTAAGTATAAAAAAATAAAAGAAATGGTAAACCAAAATATTAACTACAAAAATTTAAACAAACGATATAGCTCTAAAATAGTAGATAATCTGAATAGATAAACAAATTACGATTTCTATAAAAACTTAATAAATAAGCTAAAATGCATTAAAAAATAATATTTACACACTAGACGAAATAATAAAACAAGATGGTGACTCTATATGGTCCGACCTTATCGAAACAGCCTGTTTCCTGGCTCGTTAGCTGACTTCGACTACAATAAGAGCCTCAACAAAATGTTAGAAAGTTTCAGTTTGAGAAATTAATAGTTTCGCCGATGTAAACTGGACTAAAAAACAGTCCAAAGTAAAACTTTCTTGTAAAAGCGTTGCATGTCCCTTTAAATCTACTTATCAAACACCTCTTTTTTAGGGTTCATACTTATCGACACAGCTCATTTCTTTCATTGATATCAACACTTCATAGCCGTCTGTGGACGGTTTAAAATTTATAATGATTAACAAATATTTCTCTTAAATATTTTAGTGGGTTTGCTTCGTAAGTAAAATTTTGCAAGTCCGGTGTGCGATGGGACGCATTTGGGATATATTATATATACAAATGGAATACGGTTTCAAGAACCTGAATTCATAACGTTTCTAGTATCAGATAGGATGAGTGCCGCGAACTATAATAACTATTTGCTCGTGACTTAATGGGTTACAACCCCTTGTAGAAAAATAGACTTTTTTTGCGTATACGAGTATATATCGAATGTACATGGTATATTTGAAAATGATCTCAGTTAAAAAAGTTGAAGTCGGTTCAGCAAAAAGTTTCGGAGAAATTAACGTATTTGTAAAAATATTTCAACTTAGTGTAAACGACTCCTAAAACTTTAAACGCTTTGTTCTCGAAACGCTATCTTCAGATTTATTGAAGAAAATTTCACTGAAACAGCTGGACTAACCGACTTGAAACACACAACCTTCTTCAATATACATTTTTATCAGATAATGATCGAAGTAAGAAGGTGTTTGATAATAATTTCGATTTCTTAAGCTACTCTGATATGTAAATTTTTTCACAACAAACGATTTTTTTTGGGAAGTTGCCATTTCCTTCTACCTGCATTCATCTAGAGTAATAATAATTTTTTTTTTTGGATTTGCGATAGTTTTAACCAGAATATAAACCCTTAAGCAAATTAAAGTTTAACAAAGAGTAGGATATAGTTAAATGTCGGCAGTAAAGCAAGGATCAATTGCTGTTTCGATTCAAATGTTATAAAAATACCCTGCCAATTCAAAATCAAAAATAGTTGAAAAAGTTTGTTAACTTTACCCTACTTTCAACGGAATGGTATAAAGTCATGCACAATTAGTTAGTTACCAGTTTTGTTTACCCAGAGCAAACCAGTGTATTGATTGATTTGTAAGCGTGACACCCTCGCATTATTAGACACGTTCTGACGATTGTGCCGCACAAATAGAAACACGTGAACGCCGAAACGATGACTTACCTAAGGGGAGGCGGCACATACAAACAATCGTACAATAACAACGCTAAAATCCCTAAATATTAAAAGGCAAAAACTAATGTCGATTGAAGGCACACACAAATAGCTTAAACAAAACTACAATAGAAATGGTAACAAATGAATTATAACAAGCAGGAAGCGTAGCTAAGCAGCACGCGCTATGCAGAAAACAACAACAGCTATTGAGAGAGTCGAAAAGTGCGATACCAAATGCGAAGGTTAAAGATAACACGACCAGACGGATGAATTGTAAAGGGACAATAAATTTTAAATTGAATAGGTGACAGACAACCAAAAACAACTAGAGGCCGGCAAGAGAAGTGCAAGCAAAAATTTAAAACTAATTGAAATGATTATCAAAATCACCCAAAATGTGCTACAACTAAACACAATAACAACTCAAAGTAAAGTTCTACAGCACGAAATGAAAAGGGTCGTGAAGCAAGCAAAGTACCCTCATAAAATGCATGCCAACTTGGGGGATAGTACAATATCATTCTTTTAAAGTTTTTTTCTTGTTATCGCTTTGGTCTTTGATGCAGTGCTCTTGGGAAGGACACGAAATTGCCATTGCAATATGGCACCGCATGCATACATACATACCTAAATATGTATATGTATACATAGAACTTATATACATAAATACTTGTACATACAATTTTATTTTGAAAGGTCGCACAAGTTTGAGTTGCTGACATTTTCTTTTCGGGCATTACAGGAGTGCCAAAACTAAATGGTCATGCGGCATAACAAATATGCTTGCCAGCTAGCAATTCAATGCTCAAAAGAAACACTCAAATGCTGTAAATTTTCACACAACTAGGGGAGACAAATGTACATGGTACATTCACATGCCCATTACCGTGTATTTGCCGGCGCGCAATTGCTTTCAAAAAAGGGTAAGGCGGCGACGGCACGGCGCACTGCGGTCGTTACGAATATACCAACTACAATAATAATTAAAATAAATGGTGAAAAAACAAAAAAAAAACAGTTTTTGTTGCATTGAAGCGCTTAAAGTTCATTGAATATGATTTGAACCGATCGCTAACCGCAAGCCACGCAGCGGCAGGTGCAAACTGGCGTGAGCTTGAAGGACCACTAAAATATCGTATGAAAGAACCTTTTGTTATTTGTTCGATCACACAGCAAGTATTCGTTAAATTTATTTTAAGGATTTTCCGCTTTATTAAGTTTTATGAAATAAATAGTTTTTGGTTAGCACAATTATTCCGTTAAGTAGTGCAATGGTTTTGATAATTTGGTGGTGGGATAAATTTTAAATATCAGTATATGAGCTGAGTCGATTTAGCCATGTCCGTCTATCCGTTGTTGTTGTTGTAGCGGCAGAATTCTGCCGAGTTGACAGTCCTTGGTCGGTTAAAAATCCGGGGCCGTTTCGGTTACGTAGACCCGACTGTCGTTAGAACGGTCCGTCTATCCGTCTGTCTACTTGTATTTAGTATACAGTTTTGAGAAATCAATCTGACATTTTGCTTTCTTCTTTTTTCCCTAAGAAGCTGCTCATTTGTCGGAAATGCCGATATCAGACCACCATTGGATATAGCTGCGATACAACCTTTTTAATTGACAAATAATCTTTACGAAATAGATTATTGTCCAAGACAAATCTACAATTTTCTAAAATATACAAACTGACCTATCAAAATCAAGTCCTTTTATGGAAATTTTTTCATAGGATTTAAAGCTATAGGAACGGACCAGTGAAGGGTATTATAGTTTCGGTACAGCAGAACCAAACATTTTTTCCTGTGTTTTGGTATAAACTGCTAGGCTTATGAAGAGTTAATTAAAAAAAAAATTTATTAAAATCATCTTCAAAGCAGATATATGTGATATATAAACGCAACCGAAGAGGCTAAATTTTAATATAGTGAGATGATATGTGGAAAACGTCAACACGAGGTTGGGAATTCATTATATTAGGGATATGAGGTACATACCAGGGTTTACAATAAATCCTTAAATATCAAGCGCTTAATAATTACTATAATTTTATAGTTTTTAAGAAAACTTGTTCGCTTAATTTCATTAAAATATCACACATTTTGACCAACCTAAACGGTTTATAGTCAACTGGAAAGTTGGAAATCACTATACAGGGTATATGGGGGGCAGAGAAAGGTCTGGGCTTGTTGCATTAACCTTTGACATTGCTAAGGTTAACTCGAGAACATATTTCATGCCATTTTATAAATAAATAACTCACACAGTGACCGACATATTCGGTATGAGATAGAGGTAATATTGACCCGATTTTATGCATTTTTGGCATTACTACATATTATTAACAGAAATAATAGATTTCTGAGTTTCATTCAGGTACCTCACATACATTCACCACTATATAAGGATAAAGTCAATCGGTTGTTTGAAAATCCTGATATTAGCTATTTGGTATATCGGGGCTAAGAGAAGTAATGACCCGATTCAAGCAATTTTGAGAAAAGCATCCAACTCTCATGAAAAGATATACTAGATCCGGACAAATGCTGGTGTTAAAGTGAGCTGTTTGTCTGCTGTTCAAAGGGTGCTAAGGAATGCTCCATATTTGAAACAATTAAAACTTAAGAAAAAACCACCACTCCACTTCCCCGAAAAGAAACACAATAACATTTTGCACCGGAGCATATGCCCTTATAATCTGTTTGGCGCTATGCTGTCTTTTCAGACGAAAACAATTATTTTGGAAGGGCAAATACAATTATTATTTCCGTGCTCTTCGGAAAGAAGAACATCAGTTGGTACGTATTGGAGGACAAAATGTCGACTTAATGCACTTGGCGCCTTACTCACCTGACATCAATGTAATAGAAAAGTTGTGGGGTTGGTTGGCTCGCAATATTTTCGAGTCTGGCCGGCAGTATTCCATTAAAGAGGAATGAGTTAAAGGTATTAAAAATGCTTGATCATCAATTTTCTTGAATTATATTGAAAAATTGTACCAATAGTTAATACATAAGTATAAAATTATGTTGTCTGCTAAAAATGTAAAAGAAAATTAAAAAAAAAAGTGATATGTGCTAACCTTATGACTATATTTGCTTATTATGCTAATTTAAATGGTTTTTTTTTTTTGTTTGCTTTTTTTTGAGAAAAATTTTTCGTTAATAATCGCTAATAATTTTAGAAATGTAACTTCCTTAGTTATGATAAAAATTAACCAGAACCAGAATTAGAACCTGACTTGTGCTAACCTGAGCGCAGTTTATGAAGAATATACTAATAAAAGTTCTAACACCAAATCAAATAAATCAGAAAATTAACAGCTAATATAATTCATATTAAAATAAATTATTATAAAAAATATATTTTTATTCAAAAACATCAACATTGCAACACGTTTATGCCTAAAACTTAATTGTGGTATAAACACAAGCTTAAACTATGCCTTCCGTCTTTTATTTAAAGCTTTTCTACAGTATTCAACTATTTCAACGTCTGATGCTTTTTCCGTCGCCACCAAGAGTTGTTCAATTTTTAGAAATTCAAATTTTCCAAATTCTGGCTTATAATTTTTAAATGCAATTGCTGCACAATACTTTGGTTGTAGTAAATGCTCTTCAAAGTGAAAATCATTTTCGGGCAAATCATTGCAACGTAGTGTTGTACCGGTTAACGGTGATGTCACAACATCCAAATCACGCGTAGTATCCACAGTGAAACTGATTTTTTGCAAATCGACAGTTATGCCCACCCCAAGTTCTTTAACATACGCCTCTTTAAGGCACCAATGACGCATAAACGCCTTTACTTGGTCGGCCTCATTATGCTGTGGGTGACGTATGTAGCGCCATTCACTGTCAGAAAATTTGCGCTTCATTATACGAAAGAAGTCAGCTAGATTTTTCCCTCCACTATATTCAATTTTCATAACATCAACGCCAACTCCCACTTTTGATGTGGTGTTAGTAGTAGGTGCTGCATCTGCTGCTCCCATTTCAGTTTCGCTAGAAATACCTGCAAGCAATACAAATTTCCCCTGGTGTGATACATTGAACGAGAGTTGCTTGCGGCATTTATCTTCTGCTTGTAACCAATAAGGCTTTCCACGTGCATCACGTGCAAATCGCACATCCTTATAGTCAACATCACTATGGGCACTGACGAATTTTCGCATTAACAGGCGTCCAACTAGTGACGAGAGGAAATCATCAAGAAATACGAATTTCATTAAACGCTCACATTCCTCAGACTGTATGACAGCGACAGCTTGTGCTAGTTGCGGTAGTGTTGGATGCCAGCTAGCCAAATCAATAGCCCAACGAGTACATTTATGTTGCACCATTGCATTAAGCTTTTGTAAACAATTTTATAGTAGTTTTTGTTATTTTATTTCTTTATTTTTAAAATCAGCTTAACATACAAGAATCCATCACATACGGCTTGATTCCAATTAGAAGTTGTCAAAATGTCAAATTGTGCACAAAACAAAAACTCAAAGAGCGAATTGAGCACATGCAGTGCTGCCAACATCAGAAGAGAAAAGCAATAAAAGTGTAAACATACCGTACTGAGGGCAGATTGTGCTAAAAAGCTACTTCGAACTTAAAAGGTATAATAGTGGCTAGCAATTTTTTCATAATTTTTAAAAATAAATCTACATAAATTTAAAAGAATATTGAAAAAATTTATTATGCACTACGAATACTTTAATATTATTTTACAAATATAAAATATTGTCTGAGTAAAATTCATAATCATAATAGAATAAAATAAGTAATGTATACAACTAATAAATTAATTTTATTCAAGATAACCGAACACATACAATCTATGCACATAAAACTAAAAATAGGGCAGGCATATTCAACTCAAGCCATATTGGCCTACCATATATACGTATATAAGATGTCAATAAGTTGTTTTTAAAATAAAGAATTGCGTAAAATACTGAAAGAAATAAAACTCAAAATTTCATAAGATCACTTTTGTACTTTTTTGGTTTAGCACAAACCTTAAATGTTTTATAAATTTACTTTAAATAGCAAATTCAAAAAACCGAATTCTACCAAACTATAAATTTCATATAAAACAAAAATATTTGTTCCATTTACTACTAAAGCAAAAGTATGCTTTCATTCTTCTTTCACACAACGAAAACTTCTACTGTACTTTATGAATTGTTGTATAATAGTAAAATTCTGAGCACACGAATTATAATAAAATATATGATAAAAATAAATTTTTTTTCTGTTTAAAACCAATTAATATATGCAAACATACACACATATGTGCGTATATGAAAAGCATACGTAAGTATATTTAGTCTGTCCATTTATTTTAGGTAAAAAGTAGGAATTCTTAATGAAAACAAAAGTATGTGTGAACAAAATAGAGACATACATATAGATATGTATATATCGACAAACCCCTAGCAAGGTGTCTAATAAATAATCATACATGTGTATATATATGTATAAATGATCGAATTAATCTTTGCATATATCCAAAACACACCAAGCAACATTACATCAACACTTACCATTAAGACGCGCCTTCTCCGGTCCTCTATCGTTCAAAGATGAAGTGGCCGTAAGGACAGCATGCTCCATAAGTGGTTGATTACAATCGTAATCAGAGAAGTAATCGCTATAGGAATCTGAAAACAAGCAAAATTATAAAATTTACATCAAGGAAATAAAATGTGAAATATGTAGTCTAGACCACATATATATGTATGTTAACATGTGCATAATTTTAAAATTTTAATTTATTGTTTGTTTTGCTTATAGTTTGACCCACATTCATATAAACAAGTTTCCTTTTCTGGCACTTATCCAGCTGAAGTTGTCAGTTATTGTAATTAAGTTTTCATAGCTGCTATTTTTGTTTAATTAAAAGGAATTGGACCATGCTCTCATATTTCTCATCTTGAATAAAAATAGCAAGAAGAATTTAGTGTTTTTACTGCAAGTATTTTTGTTAAAATGTGTAATTTTCTTAAGCATTTACATACTCTTATGGTCGACAGCCTACATACAAGCCAGTAAACTTTTGATTTTGACAAGTAAGCAGGCACGTCATGCTATGCTCTTTTACTTTTCATTTTAACAAGTAAACAGAAACGCCATGCAATGAGCCTGTAAGTATTATTAACGTAATTTGCAATTTAGCTTATGTATATACAAATGTTGAAAACTTTTGGCATTATCCCGCTCATGAACACTTCTCAATCATATTATATACCACACACATGACTATGAGTATATATGAATGTGTTTTACTTATTGTGTATTACTTATATTTACATAAACAAGACTAGCAACACCCTACCTTCGATTGCGAAATAAACCACCCTTTGTTGTTGAGTGGTGCTGACAATCTGGCTGTCGCCGTGCCTGTGTATACTGTTTGGTTTATTTTGTGCTCATGCAGCCTTATCCTGGCTAAGTGCCACTACTGAAGTAAGACTAACCAAAGTATAATGCAACAATTTTTATATGTACGTGGGACTTAAGCTTTATTTACTGTTGAATTTCACTAAACTAGTACCTATGACTTGCATAAAATAAATAATATAAACAAATATTATATTTTATATCAAATAACATTTGTTTAAAAATATATAACTACCTAATCAAAGATTTTGAATAACCATTATTTGATATCCTATTTAGTTACATAAAAAAAATTGGTTATCCCGATTTTCATTGAAACTTCTTATTGATGAATTTATGTATGTTTGACTATGCAGTTATTGCTTGATCAATTATGGCGTTGTCTAGGTGTTTATAAATATTCATAGTTGTTTAATCGAAGTCCCTACTAGTTTCAACGAACCATCCCAAATGTAGAATCAAAGGAACTTGTCTGGAACATTACAGTCAATTTTTTTGTAAATATGTACATACATAAGTTGTCTCACACTAAGAAAGCCTGTAATACCAACATTAAGCTCACGTGTTTGACATGGTGCTGAACCTTTGACCGAAATATTTCGCATGCGCATTAACTGTCCCGGCAGTGTGTCACAAAACGCCGGTGCCGATTTGTCCTTGGTAAAGCGTATAAGTACATATTCAGCAACAAAATTATTGCAATCATTACGTTCATACATGCATACATATTTATGTTCTTAATGGAATATGCTTGATAAAAAAATTTACAAGAAAATACATTTAATTATGTTTGATATAAAATACATCTTTAAGTTAAGGAAGTTTTATGAATCACCGATCATTTTTATACATAATATTATTTAAAAACCAAAACGAACCCACCAACCATGAAAGCTTGAGTATACCTTTTCTCCCCTTCCTCAAAATATGGGTGTTGCTTATATGCTCTCTGTTTTGACTACCTAGTTCGTAAGCTATCTAGCGCTGGAGCAGGCAAGTTCAGCTTTAATATGCTCTTGACGTTGATCACACGTCAACCGCGTTGAGTGAGTATGGACAAATAATTTGTTACCAACAATATATGTGAGCGTAAATAGCCAACATGTTCAATTAACCACAGCAAGAGCAGCAAATGATGAGACATCGCCATTACGATCTCAATGTGGAGTCACACCCAAAAAAAATTATAAATGTCAGTGCTATAATTTTATAATAAATATAAATTCTCCCCATATTTTAGTTATTAAATTGTAAAAAAAAAACGCAGAAATAAAACAAACACTTTTTTTTATAATTCTATAATTACCTGCAGTCACACTCCGTATGTTGCAGCTTATGAAAAAAATTCCACAACAAAGCAGCGCTGCCGTCAAATCAAAAGCATTCATTATTGTATAATTTAATTTAATATACAGATTTCAGCTAGAACTCATTTAGTACATTTGTGAATGCATGAAAAATATGTTGCACTTGTTAGGCGTCCACTGGATAACCACTTTTGAATAATTTCTTTTAGCTGTTGGCAGTGAAATTTACTTCTGCTGCCCAGCGGAGCGCTAGCTCGACACACCAGCACAATTTACAGCACTCGCGTACCAATATTTTTTAGGCGTAATGAACGCAGAGTATGCGTACAATTATTTCTTCTTGTAAAAATGTACTTATACAATTTTTTAAAAAAATATTTTTTCACAATATAATACACTAAATTATAAAAACCGTCACGCCGCTGCAACTAAATAATGCTCTTTACAACTACACGTTCGAATCGAATTTGAATGCAAGAGTTTAAGATCCAAATAACTCTCTGTCTACTTTGACATTCCAATAAGAAAAAATATTATTATGAGAATAGAAAATAAAAAGAATGTTGTTGGCAGCATTGTATTACAGGGGTGCACCAGAGAATTATTGTTTTAAATGTATGTAATATTATTTTGAAATTTGTAGAAAACAACTTCAACCAAGTAAAATATTAAAATATTGGAAACCTGTTAAATACAACAATGACAATAACTTTTTGCTATAATTTTGTTTAAACAAATATTCGTAATACCTTACATATTGGTAGCATCGAAACACAGGGTTGTGTGGTGTCACACATAAATGTCAACATATTCTTTATACATCAATTTTGTTTTTGTACCAGTTTGACAAGTATCAGCGAACTCTATAAAAACATTTGGTTTCTTTCTGAATATAAACAAATTAATTTAATTAAATGTAAAATTGTCAAATATTTAAACGCAGACTAAACATGAACAGTCTCAATATACCCACAGATTTTGGGCCCGATTCGGGCGGCCGGGTAAAAGGTTTGGTTATAGTTAAGCCCATTGTATATGGCAATATTGCACGATCCTTTGGCAAAAAGAACGAGGATGGACATACACATCAATGGAAAGTATATGTGAAACCGTATCACAATGAAGATATGTCAGTTTATGTGAAAAAAGTTCACTTTAAACTACACGAAAGTTATGCCAATCCAAATAGAATTGTAACGAAACCGCCTTATGAAATTACCGAAACCGGTTGGGGTGAATTTGAAGTAGTCATCAAAATATATTTCCACGATCCGACTGAAAGGCCGGTAACTTGTTATCATATATTGAAGCTATTCCAAAGCCCAGTGGTTGATGGTGAGCTTTCGAGCACAAATTTGGACAATAATAAACGAATGGGCGCCGCCAACGTGCATTTGGTATCCGAGTCGTATGAGGAGATCGTTTTTCAAGAGCCCACACAGCTAATGCAACATTTTCTCATGAACGTACAGCCGATAACGAGTGGATCATACACACATGATACCGACTGTAAGTGTTATAATAATTATTATTATATTTTAAATATTACATATTTTTCTTATTTAGTTGAAACAAAGAAGGAGAAAACCTTAGAAAACATAATTGATGTAAAAGGAAAAGTAAAAAGTGAAATAAACTCACTGAAAGACAAATTGAAACTAGCTCGTGAAACCATTGCGAAGTTCAAAGCAGAACTTGCTAAAGTACAAAAGCCACCCACTTCATAAATATATAAAATGAACTTCCAAAAACAAAGATTAGACTTTGAATAAGTAGATTTGTACAATATTTGAAAATTAAAGAACTGAAGGCAACCTTATTAATAAAGAAAACACTTTCTTATTTCAATGAAAAAATGTATTTATGTTTTATTTATTGAAAAAATAAATCAATTCACAACAAATTTGTATTAATGGTTTCAAACAATGTCCATAAATTGCAATTCAGATAATAACATTACGGTATTAGGTAATGGCCGTGGTTGCGGTGAAAGTACAGTTATAGTCTGTCTATCGATATCGACATCAGTACTGAAATTATTTAAAAAAAACACTCCAATTACGTAAATATTCAGAAAAATTATTTTTTATATTACTTACACGCAAACAAAACCAGCCACATTAGTTCCAATCACGTCCTCATCAGTCGATTCAGCAAAACTAATCGCTAAAATATGATGTAGCAATGAGGGACTGGGAGTTACCGCCACAACTTTGGTTTTATTGTCTTCCGCTTTCATACCAATAGGCATACAGGAATCTGGCAACGGCGGAGCGCCTATTTTGTACAACTTCAAATCTTGAAATTTCACCTCAAATGAGAATGGATAGAAAGGTGTACGATGGCCGTAAAAGTATTCCTTAATACGTAGGTCGCGTTGTTCACTACGCAAACCTCGGCTTCGTTCTACTACACCACCACTTTTTGGCAGCAGAACGACCCGTACAAACGAAGGCATATCCCTCAAAAGCTCATTATACAAACGCTCCTGGTCCAATACAAAGATGGCATTGACTTCGAAAGCCTGTGCTGTGTACAATAAGTGAGCGTAACCATCACCCTTTACCCACCCACAGGTGTTTATTATCATGCCGGAATGTTTCGCTATAAATATGCACATATACATATGAATGACATCAGTGAAAACTAATATTACTTACTTCTTTTGTTTACGTTCATCGATTCCAGCGTTACTTCTGCCATTTTCGATACTGTAGCTTTATATAATACATTATTGCTACCTGGGCCTTTATGACCGAAGTGATACACTAAAGGTGCAGTCTGAGAAAATCCCTCTTCAATACTGGCAGGACGTTCAATGAGTATGGTAGCAATAGTACCTGGTATAGAAATAGAACCTTGTCCAACGTCTATATCAGCGTATAGTGGACGTCTACCTAGTCGTACAGCATAGTTAAGAAATATGCGAGATAATGTACTTTTCCCTACGTCTAAAGGCCCCACAATCATTACGATTGGTCCTCGTTCATCCTTTTCTTCAGCACTAGCACGCATTTGCTCTAAGGCAGCATGACAGTTTAAGTATTGTACCATTGGAGTCTCCTTTGAAATGTAACTAACATCAGTTTTGCCATTTACATTTAACACGCAACCATGATAGGTAAAAATTGCCACTTTCGCGCCTGTTAGAAACTCGTATTTTTTCTTTTTAACCAATTCAGTCCCAAACATTTCGGCAAAACCAGAAATAAGCTAAAATTTTCACGTTTAATACCATGAATATTATCACAATTTTATTGAACCTACCGTTACGAAAACCTTTGCATCCTTGTCTTCTATTTCAAAACGAAGTTCGGAATCTGCTTCCAATGTGAATTCTTCACCTTCTTTGGCCTCGTCAGACATTGCTCAAAATATGTTAGTGCCAAACATATAATATATAACACTAAGTCCTAAAATTGAGATTCCTTTTGCTTCAAAAATCGCGTTCCTCGCGTAAATATTGAAAAGCTGAGTTGTTTTGTTTAGATACAGCTGATTACGAATGCAGGGTTGTATTGATAGCACATTTTTGCATAATTCAATTCGATCTGTTTGTGCGTTTACTGGGTACTATTTTTACATAAAAATTTAGTAGATAACTCAAATATTCTAATGAACATTGGGTACATAAAGTAGCAGAAAAAATTAGTTTATTTGTTGTAATGTATTGATTTGAAATTACTTTTTGTGGAAAAACACTTAGTTTTCATTTTATAAAAACAAAAGGCAAAAGTTACCACAGCTGAACTGTATAATATATGAAAATTAAAAGTATAATTATTACATAAGTGTAATAACAATATTTACAACCTGAAAGAGCGTCATTTATGTATAAGTTAAAGGTTGAACTTTGATAACAAAAGTGCACAACTAAAAAAGTTGTGTCAAAAAAGTAAGCCTGCTTAGACACCTTAATATCAGAATTTAACATCCAACTGGGAATGCTATCGGCATTTACTATTGGGAATTACATATATTTATAAGAACTTATGAATAATAAAATATCAAACAGTAAACAAACTATTGAACAATGAGCAATATTTATATTCAGGAACCACCAACTTCGGGAAAGGTTAGCTAATTTGTATCAAGATGACCATTTAACTAAATTTAATATTATTATAGGTTCTCCTCAAGACTACTGTTGGCGACATAGATATAGAACTATGGTCTCGAGAATGTCCCAAAGCATGCCGCAACTTTATACAACTTTGTATGGAAGGATACTACAATGGCACAATTTTTCATCGCGTTGTTAAAGGTTTCATTGTACAAGGTGGTGATCCCATTGGCGATGGAACTGGTGGAGAATCTATTTACGGTCATACATTTAAAGATGAGTTTCATTCTCGTCTACGTTATGCGCGTCGTGGACTTGTTGGAATGGCGAATGCCGATAAGGATGATAATGGCTCACAGTTTTTCTTCACATTGGCCGCCACACCCGAGCTTCAAAACAAAAACACCCTTTTCGGCAAAGTAACCGGTCATACTTTGTACAATATGCTAAAACTGGAGGAGGGTTTAGTGGATCATAATGAACGTCCAATGTATCCCCAAAAGATATTGGGTACTGAAATATTAAGCAATCCCTTTGAGGATATAGTTCCACGAAAACTAGCAAAAGAGATCAAAAAAGAGAAGACTAAAAAACGTGAAAAGGGTGTCAAGTAATTAAATGAATTTCTAATAAGACGCGAACCTCTTTTTTAAAGGCTTTTCATTACAGAAATTTTGGTTTACTTTCATTTGGTGAAGAGGCGGAGGAAGATGAAGAAGAAACTAATCAGTTTGTACAAAAAAATGCGGGAAAGGCAAAATCAATGCACGATGTGGTAGATGATCCCAAACTCAGCAGAGATGCTTTACGTATCGAAGATACCAACATAAGGTCGGATGATGAGGAGATGTTAGAAGAGGAACGCAGACTAGCATGTGTCAAAAAAGAACCATTCGATAATGATGATATAGAGGAGCGTCGGCAGCGAATCAAAGATAAATTGCATCTAAAGGCAAATGAGGCAAAAAATATAATTAAGACGGAGACAATTGTAATAAAGGAGGAAGTGTCTGACTCCGATGAAGATGTTCTTTTGACACAGGAGCAGGAGCAAAAAATAAAAAGCGAATTGAAGAGGTACATATAGTGAATTATATTTAATAAGCACACATATGTACTAATATACTTAAAAACAAACCGTTGGTACTTTTTAGGAATGAAATTCGACAGGAAATTCAAAACCTGAAGAAACAATATCAAACCGAAAAACGTCAAAGAGAAAATTTGAGTGATAAAAAACCTGAAAAGAGTAAAACTGGCGAATTGAATGCTAGCGCCGCTGAAGATAATGAATTCATAAAAAGTTTTGTCGATGAAAAAGTGAAATACAGTAGCTTAAATTCAAAAATACCAAAAAAGGGTGCCAGTCGGGAGGATTTTACTTTAAGCTTACTGTCGAAATTCCGAAATAAATTGGATGCACTTAAACAGAAGCAATCTGAATCGAATGAAGCCAATGAGTCTTTAGATGATGGAACCGTAGAGAAAGAAATTCAAGGAGACGATTGGCTGGCGCACACATTGAAGTTCGAAGAAGCCATACCCATATTGGCGAAGGATGCGTCCACGAAGGGTGACGATTGGTACGACGCATATGATCCTAGAAATCCGCTTAACAAACGTAAAAGAGGAGAAGGTTCTAGAAGTGGAGGAAGTAGTAGTAAAAGTTCTAAACGACATTAGTGAAAATTTGAAATACATACATATATTTATTTTGATATCAATATATAAAAATTGGAAGTAAAAAAGGTACGTTATTATGGAATTTTATTAATCTTCTCAAAATATTTCGTTTTCTCTTTGGGATTTGGAACAATCTGAAAATAAAATATATTATTTATAATTTTGGATACGTAACGTTTTATTTTATTACTGTCTCTGCGCCAGGCTTCCAACCAGCTGGACAAACTTCTCCATGAGTGTCAGTATATTGAAATGCTTGTACCAAACGAAGTGTCTCATCTACTGAACGTCCTACCGGCAAGTCATTCATAGTAATTTGTCGCAAGATTCCACGATGATCAATGATAAATAGACCACGTAGTGTATGACCCAAATCTTCTAAATAAACTCCATAGTCTCTGCTAATTTTATGCGTCAAATCCGAAAGCAATGGAATTTTTACATATCCCAGACCGCCTTCTTTTCGTGGTGTGTTGATCCAAGCCAAATGTGTAAAATGTGAATCTACACTAATCGCAACGACTTCAGCATTTATCTTACGGAATTCATCGATGCGATCCGAAAACGCTATAATTTCGGTGGGACACACGAAGGTGCTGAAAATCAAAATGTATTCATTGCTGCAATTTGATGTATGGTGAAAATCAATTATAACTCACAAGTCAAGTGGATAAAAAAGAAGTACTAAATATTTCCCATGATATTGGGAGAGTGATAATTTGACGAATTCTCCTTTCACAACAGCTGTTCCTTCAAACGTTGGAGCTAACTTAGATACTACAAAATGTATAAATACACTATAAATATATTACAGAAAAATATATGAATACTACTTACTGACAGCCTTAGTGGTTTGCAACTTGTGGTCACCACGAGGTCCTTCAGAAGGATAAACAGAGCCACCAGCAAACGAATGGCATGAACCGCTTTCATCATATTTGCTGCCGGCTGTTAATACTGCACACAGTATAAGAATGCAAAGTTTTGACAACATTGTGCGCGGTAGCATCCAAAATCTATAAATATAAATTTTTAGAAGTATTAGCACGTATTTAAGCCACGCAAACACTTTTTAACAACTATATGGTGGTATCTAATCGAATGTGCTTGTGCGTGGACACTTATTATACTTATGTTATTGATAAAATTTTTGATTGATACCGGCTTATTTCACTTAATAACAACTTATCAGTTAAATTTGTTATTTTATACATTGAAAGAAAAACGAGAGGGAACTAGTATTTTGATGACGGAAGCAAATAAGAGAATAATAACAAAAGAAAACATTTCTCTTTATAAATAAGTTGGTAATGTTAAGTTTTATGAAATTACACATATGTGTTTGTACACTTTGTGCAAAGGTTATTGCTTTGTTTACAGATTTTTTAAATGTTTTGTATAAAACGTTTACCATATATATTGTACTGTCACTCACTTTGTAAAATGTAATGATAAAAGAAACAAGATAGAGATTAACAACAGTTCAGCCGGCAAAAAATCTAAACACAGAGTTGTATAGTTTAGTATGATATACACAAACTTTTTGAACCCCTTCTTTTATCAATTTTACTTAATATTAACATTTGTGTCTATATAATTATTAAAAGTTATACACCTCACAGTGCAATTAATTTAGGATTTATGTAAAAACTACTTAATACAGTGAAAAACGTTTGTTAACGAAAAAAAATATATATAGCTATTTCAATACACCTCTTCGCATTTAACTTGTGTTTTTATCAACAGTTTCTATCATTCTTGTTGCCTATTGTATTGTTGCTGTGGTTTAATTTTCCTTTTTTGTTTAAGGAGTGTCTGTTACGCATTTTTTATTTAGTTATTTTAATTTAAAAGAATTGTTTATAATATATTATAAACAATAATAAAAACCGGCAATCAAGTGAAATTTAAATTAACATAGAGTTGAAGTTATAACTTCGATTTTGAAAACTCTTAAAACTTTGCGAATGCCGAACGACCAAGGCAATTAATATCCCAAGCGCTTACGAGTAATTCATTCATCTAAAAATATAATCAAATTTCATAATGCAAAAAAATCGAGACTATGAAGGGGTACCTCAAGATGTTCCACCAATCGTAAGGCAACCACGAGCCACTATGTCACCAGCAGGTAATATTTTTTTTCATAACTAAATATAAAATTTTGTGAATGAATGCTTTCTTCTTTATTGTTTCCTTACTATCAGAAGCTTGGATGAGCATTCCCATTGGCATACCTAACTGTCCAACTGGTTTAGAGTATCTAACAGCCGTGGACCAGTTGCTTATAAAGCAACAAGTGGATTTGGTTGAAGTATTTTTTGGCTGTGAAATGAAAAATAAATCAAAAATAAAAAATTCAGCAGGCGAGAATGTCTATTTAGCTGTGGAAGATACACATTGTTTGACAAGAAACTTGTGCGGTTCTTGTCGGCCGTTCGATATACAAATTCTTGACAACTTTCAGAATGAAGTGCTACATATATATAGACCATTACGTTGCGAATCTTGTTGCTTTCCATGTTGTTTGCAGTCATTAGAAGTATCGTCGCCGCCCGGGACGGTTATTGGCAGTGTGGAACAGGAATGGTCACTATTACGGCCATTATATTTAATCAAAAATGCATATGGTGAAAATGTTTTGCGTGTGCGTGGACCGCGCTGTACTTTCAAATGCTGTGCTAATGTGGAGTTTGATGTAAGTAATTGAAAGTTATATAATCTAAAAATACACAAATATATAAAAACAAGAAAGAGCGTTAACTTCGCTTGCACCAAAGCTATAATACTGTTCATATATACAAAATGTTCCATACAAAAGCATGATTTTTAATTGTCAATTTGTATGGCAGCTATATGCTATAGTTTTTCGATCTGAACAATTTATTCGCGGATTGCAGCGTTGCCTTGGATAATAACCCATGCCAATTTGGTGAAGATATCTAGAACAATGGAAAGGTTTTCCAGACACTTTCCGATCGCTCAGTTTGTATGGTAGCTATATGCTATAGTGGTCCGATCCAAAAAATTTGTTCGGAGAATGCAGTGTTGCGTTAGAAAATAATCCGTGCCAAATTTCTTGAATATACTTGTCAATTAAAAAAGTTTTCCATGCATGGACTTAATTTAGATAGTTTAATTTTTATGGCAGCTATATGGTATAGTGATCCGATATTGGCGATTTCGAAATATGAGCAGCTTCATTGGGAAAAAAGGACGTGTTCAAAATTTCAGATCGATCTCTCATTTACTGAGCGGACTAGTTAGCGAATATATAGACAGACATACGGACATAGCTAAAACGACTCATCTCGTCGATAATCTATCGTTATATATGTACATATATAGTATCCCATATTGTCTTCTGGGTACCCTGTTCGGAATATACAAAAAATTATTTATCTCGATAGTCTTATAATGTTTATTTATTTGTAGATTTTTGCTATGAATGGTGATAAAATTGGAAAAATTTCTAAGCAGTGGACAGGTATCAACAAAGAATTGTTTACAGATGCCGATTATTTTGGAGTTAAATTTCCAATCGAGTTAGACGTGCGAATGAAAGCAGTTATTTTGGCCGCAACTTTTCTCATTGTACATCAAATTTGCCATAATTCTTATTGCTCGGTTTAATGCTAAATTTTTTTACAGGACATGGTGCATTTTGAGTATTAAAAAACTGCTGAAAATGATCATTTGAGCTTAGCCAGTACAGCATATATGCTTCAACATAAAGGACTTCAAAATACGTATACTCAACGCACACATTAACATTATTTCTTCCATTAAGCGTTCACTTTTTATGCTATTCTTCATCTTAACGCTAACGAAGTACTTACAAACTCACCTGCATACAAATAAGACACCGAGAAAAGCCTTTTTTACACTATTTGACAATATATTTTTTTAGTATTTACAATTACAATCTAAATAATAAGACTAAAATTTTATTTATATTGCGAATATATCTTAAAATATTTATAATGATGCTACTTATGCAATCACTTGACAAATGATAATAAAAATTGCAATAAATCAGAAATTTTATATGTTCATGTTTTTACTTATACAATGGTGATAGAAATTCTAAATTCACATAAAAGCAATAACATTTCGTTATATCAACTTTTAAGGAAAGACAGAATATTACATGAATTGTGAATACCCATTGACAGCATTGGTTAAAGTCGGGTGGCAACACTATTTAAAGTAAAACAACTTTTCCATATAGCAAGTGTTTTTTATCTGCATTGGAAATAAATATTACAGTAATTTTATAAGAGTTTATTATTTATTGTGCAGTTGTTATCCCTGGTTAAAACATTTTCTTTGGCTGCAAACTTGAAGTTTGTAAAATTTTTGCTTAAGTATCAAAATGATGACGAATTAACCAATACCATTTTAGGTACATAAATTGTTTGTGTCTCATTAAAAAGTGAGAGAGTTAGTCAGAGAAAGCCCTATTGATAAAAATTTGCTTCTTGGTCATTTCTTCGCACAATGTCAATGCCAATGAGTAATATAAATAAGGGCGGATATATACCACAGGGATTTGGAGCTGGATATCCACCAGGAGGAAATACTCCTAACGTGCCTCAAGCGGAAGGTTATCAACCGTCAGCACCGGGAGCATATGTAAGTAACTAACTAGCTTATTTTCTAACAAATGGGGCGTTCCCGTATGTTCATTGCAAGTGGCTTATTAAACGCATGTACCTTAATTTTTACACATATTTAAAAATAAATTATCTCAGATTAATTTGCATTGGTTTGGTAGTTATTTTGTACTAAACTTGAGTCAGTTTCAAAATAAGTAATGCAATTCTGTGAAAAGGTAGTGCATACACTCGTGTTAGAAAAAGTAACAGACGGTCATGACATGCACATGACAAAGTGGCATATTATAAAATTAAGAAAATTTATCTTACAAAAGCCGTTCTGCTATTATTAAGAATTTTTATTTATGGAGTTAATTCGTTTTACCTTTGAGTCTGTTCATAATAATAGCAAAATCCCCGACTTACAATTCCCACAACAGCCGGTTCTACGTTACCGGCATTGACCCGGATTTTATACGGCCAAGGGCTGTTATTTCGGCGATTTATCCCAGTTTGGATCGGTAAGTGTTAGTTTAAGTTTGTCGTCATTAGAGCAACGCCTAGCAGCAGGGTTGCTCCGTTTCCTCCTTATCCGTGCTGGCATCGAGTCCAACCCGGGCCCCGAGGAATTTTTCATTAGACAGTCTGTGCTCCTTCACTCCTCCTACGACTGCGATAACTGCCAAAGTACATAGCCGCAACAAAATCCTCAAATCGCTTGCCGGCAGCTCTTGGGGAAAATACAAATAAACGTTGCTGGCAACATACAAGGCAATCGGCCGTCTGGTCCTAAACTATGTTTATCCAATATGGTCGCTTGGATGTAGTGCAACGCAGATGAAGAAGCTTCAGACTTGTCAAAACACTGCACTCCGGACTATAATGGGATGCCTCTTGATGTCCCCAATAGAACACCTGCATAGTGAGGCCCGTATGCTTCCGGTTATGGAACATAACGAGCTCCTCTCCAAGCAGTTTCTGCTGGGGTGTTTTCGTAGAAATCTCCCCTGCAGTCGTCTGTTTGAAGCGGAACCGCCTCCTTACGTCGACGACATTAGACAGTACGCCGACCGGACTTCGGACGCAACAAACTTTAAAATAAGCACTGACCGCCATTCACAGTGGAGACAGCAACACTTTCACCGACTCCCTCTCAAAGAGAGACTAAGAGTCAAAACACCACCCATAGCAGACGTAGAGCTCGAGTTATCTCGCGAAACCAGAGTGACCCTCGCGCAACTTCGTTCTGGATATTGTAGCAGGTTAAACTCCTACTTATCCAGAATAGACCCCGAAATTTTCTAAATATATGTCTTGCGTGCAATGAGTCTCCGAATTACACTAACCACCTCTTTGCATGCCCAACGAACCCGACTCATCTAACACCCTTTTTCCTATGGTCCGACCCCGTTGAAACAGCTCGTTTCCTGGACCTCCCGTTAGATGACCCCGATGACAACCAAACTACAACTTATCACCCAAGCGGGGACTAGGTAACCGTTACTACAACAACAACTATCTGCTTCCAAAAAAATGTATTCATATTGTAACTTTGAGATGTAGGCAAATTTCGCAAGTAATGAAGAGATGTTCGAAAGTCTGTAGTAAAAAAAAAACTTGATTTTCATTTCCACTTGTTATGAAGATATGCTGTTTTTGAAAAGTATGCCATAAAACTGAGAGATGTATTTAATATATACAATATTAGATTTTAAAATGTAGGATCCCAAAATAATATGAGTTTGACGTCTTCGAAGCAAAGCCCACCCTAATGTTCGTCCCTAAACCTACCTATGTACATATGTATATAGAAACAAGCGTATACGGCAGATAAGAACTAGTTTTCATAAAATTATAAACTTTTTATGTTAAATGTTGCGAGTATTTGCTGCAAGATTTACGATTATAAATATACTGAATTTTAATGAACGCCCTCAATTGTGAAGTAATTATTTGTTTTACTCTTTCACACAGAATCACACATATATATCAATTTAATGAATGTTGATTTCTTTTTTGTTTTATAAGGGTTTTGTGCCTGGACAGCCGCAAAGTGGTTATACGCCCGTACCTCAAATGCCTCCCTACGGTGAGGCTCCTCCGAATTACGGTGGTCAACAATCCCCATATGGTGGACAGCAGCCTCCTTATGGTGGACAGCAGCCGCCTTATGGTGGTCAACAGCCTCCTTATGGCGGCATGCCCCAACCACAGCCACAGTTTAATGGAGGTGGTGGCTTTCAACCAGGATCAGGATATGGTCCACAAGGTCCAATAGTTACGCAACCGGGAATGCCACCACCAGCGCAACCAATGGGACCAGCAGGTTAGTACTTACATTCATATGTTTTTTCAATAAGATTTTGGTTGAAACAATGCTCTGTTTTTCAAAAGTTGTTTTTTTACACATTTACTTTTTTATTTCAAGGGATTGTACGTTTTATATAATATCACAACATATTTTTAATTTTGCTCGTTTAACTGTTATTTAACAGTCCTAATTATTCGGCGCAATTCCCGTTGTCGTTGTCGTTTTCATTGTCGTTTGCAAGTTGTCGTTGTTATCGTCACTTCGTTTCTAACATAAATTCGTATCGTTGAAGTATATCGTAACGTCATAGTTATCGAAATTTCAAATTAATAATATTAATAAAGCCCAATAGCACCATTGTAATCTGACGTTGTTTTTTGTTGTTTTAAAGAAAATATTTGATCTATTTTGTGATACCGTTCTTATTTCGTTTAAAAACGAAAAGTCAACGGGAATAGTGCCGATTATTAGTCACATAAATCTCATTAATCTCATGATCTTTTTTTGACATGACTTTTCATGACACTTTGCAAAGAGATGCAGATGTCACTAATTTTATTTTTGCCTCATAAAGCTAATGCCAAATTTGGAGAATCTCTTTAAATGAAAAAGTTTTCCATACAAGCACTCTATCCGATCGCAAAGTTTGTATGGCAGCTATATGCTATAGTAATCCGATCATAACAATTTCTTTGGAGATTGCATCGTTGCCGTAGATAATAACCTATGCCTAATTTTGTGAAGCTATATAGTCAAATAAACAATTTTTCCATACAGGACTTGATTCCGATTGTTCAGTTTGTATGGCAGCTATATGCTATAGTGGTCCGATATTGTTTATATTAAAAAAATGTTGGGAAAGAATTAATTTTTTGGACTTTTATTAAGTTATATTATGGGTGCTAAACTTATTTAGTTTTATTGCTATATTTTACTTCGCTGGTCAGCTAAATTATATAAAAATCATCTTCAAATGATATAAATATTATAGAAAACGTCAACCAGATTATAAGAATTCATTGTATTAGGGATATGAGATTTAGATCAAGGTTAACACCAACTTCTTACATATCCAGCGCTAAATCACATAATTTTAAGGAAAACTTGTCCACTTAATTTAATTAAAATTGCACACATTTTGACCAACTAATCGGTTTAAAATCAGCTGGAAAGTTGGAAATCACTACATATACAGGGTATATTGGGGGCAGAGAAAGATGTGGGCTTGTTGCATTAACCTTTGACATTATTAAGGTATACTCGACAACTTATTTCCAAGCACACACTGACCGACATATTAGGCATAAAGTTTGCTAGAGTGACAAAATTGCTTATATGTAGTATATGGGAGTTGGAGTAATTCGTAGAGTAATTTTACATATTTTCGTCACTAAACGATAGCATATTTTTTATTATACGTTCAGGTAATTTTGCTAAGATATCTTACATATTGACCGATATATACGGTATAAAGTCACCGGAAGTTTGAAAATCATTTGTTAGGTATATGTGGGCTAGAGAAGAATTGACCCGATTTATTGGCACACAGACATACTATTATAAGGAAAAGATTCTATCCGAATTTCAATTATATATCTTACACATTGACCGATATTTTCGGTAAAATATCAGTTATAACCGCTGGAGTCTATAAGCACTGGGATTTGGTGAAAGTAGTCAAATTACGCCCATCTACAATACCGAACTTGTTATGGACCAAAGAACATGTGTACCAATTTCATACAGTTACAGCTTGCACGGACAGACAGTCACCCGGATTTCAACTCGCCTCCTCATCCTGATCATTTATATCCACATATATAACCTTATATCTATCTCCATTAGTTTTAGGTGATACAAACAACCGTTAAGTGAACAAAACTATTATACTCTGTAGCAAAATGTTCCAAGAGTATAATAAAAATTGCAGACATGATCTGAATTTCGATTACTTTGAAATGGTATAACACGATTTTGATAACTATTGATTCTTTTGATTTCGAAATAATTTAATAGGACTTAAATGAGAATCTTGGTTTCTACTAGCCCAGTTTTGAAAATATTTCATATATGATTTAAGAAAACAATATTAGTTATTCTGACCTCACACACACACTCGAATTACATATATTTTCGGCTATCCTGTTTGTGTTCCAAATAAATACAGCCCCTCATTTCGTATAGACATTTATTGTAAAATTACTATTCCAAGTTTCTTAATATGTAATCAAATACTTTTATATGCATAGCATACATTTCATCTTCGTTGACCATTGAAGTCATTCTTGAAAGACACTCACTTGTTTCTGCTTGCGATAAGACCTCCTAAGAAATATGTGATTGTCTCGTCATGCACACAGTCAATGACCTGGTATTTGTATACTCGTACATCAAATGAAGAACCACAGTAAGGCAAATCAATAAATAAAGAAACTGTATTTTTCTGCATATTTTCAATTCGAATTTACACAAAAGTACAAACTCGTGTGCTAGTCAAGCAAAGCATCGACCTACTTTGAACAGACAAAAACATAGTAAGCCTAAAATGCAATGACGGTAAAAGTCCTTTCCTCGCCCACATTTCCCATGCACAATAATTACAAATTTTTACAATTCTTGAAATTAGTATTCAATATCAGTTTTAGTACAATAATTACGATTTAGTTCACCGCTCGCCTTTCACCGTAACCTCTAGCCTTTCCGAACAAATATCATATTGTATAAAATAATAAAGTCATACATATGTGTTGTGTTTACATTGAGCGTTGTAAATTTTGCCATTTGAATACCTTCACGTCTTATCACTAAGTTCTTTAATTGAGCAAATTAAGTGATAAACGCGCACACAGTCGTCAGTCATAAGCGATTGTGATGGTTATTACGCCTTCGTCGGCTGAAAATTCGTCCACAGATATTTAGTGTGACAGCGGCGGTCCAGCAGACAATACCATGCGTTAACACATACACAAAAATAAGAAAAAAAAACAAATTTAAATGTTGAATTTGACCTTTATATTATTAAACAGTGTCAAAGCAAGTGCAGTCATCATAACAAACGCTAGTCAAACATAATGTGCGAAACTCGAACGGTTAAAAATTTGTATGCTTCAACGATTGAGCTGCATGGTCCAGCGGCAGCTTCTCAAAAAGCGCGTAACACTGGTAACTCGAATAGTAACGGTATCGTTGACGTAGGTGCCAATGTGCTGCGTATTATTTGGCATAGTTTGTATGAGAAATACGATTATCTGCGCAGACGCAGTGGACATTTAAAAGTTATTGTTGAGCGTGAGACAAACAAACCTTTGGCGAAGAAATTTCGCCGCTCGTTGCGTTTAAATAAATCAGCAAAACAAAAAGGATATGAATTTTTCATAAGCGATGAGGATAAGAGGTGAGAGCAAGTGTATTAAATAAGTATGAGCTAAAAGTTATTGCATCTAAATATAGACATGTGCACATTACAAATGCGCACACACACATCAATGCAGCCTACTTGGTAATAAACAGCGTATAAATACTTTGTAAGGATACTTATCTTATTAATTTTCAGATGCAAGTGTGATAGTTAAAACAATTATCTAAATAATGCTTATCACGGTAATACTTTTATGACGCTATAAACGAAGAACAAAGACATTTGTTATTCAAACGGTAGTCGTAGTACTTATGCCTGTATGTTGATGACTTTTAAAGATATAATATTAAAGCGTTTGTTTTCGTTTTACAATGTATACACATATGTATGTTTGTATGTATATTTGTAGTCATTCTTGCCACTGGACATACACATACAAATATTGTATGAATAATACTCATTTTAAACCGTTGCCTGCCATTCGTTAAAATTTTTGAATTCAAAAATTAAAGTAGAAACGATAAGAAAACCTATAAAATATGAACATAAATAATCAGCGTGACGAGCTGAATCAATATAACCATGTCCAAGGGAAAGGGAAATGAAGATAATGAAGTGACGATTGATTGGGATAGCAGCTGATAGATTTTCATACTCTTGCAACATGTTGCTAAAGAGTATAATAGATTTGTTCACCTAACGGTTGTTTGTATAACCTAAAACCAAACGAGATAAATATCGAGTTATACATATGATATACAAATGATCAGGTTGACGAGACGACTTGAAATCCGGTCTGACTGACTGTCTGTCTGTCCGTCCGTCCGTCCGTCCGTCTGTGCAAGCTGTAATAACGGTTTTGTTAAAAATTACTTAAAGTGTTAAAATTGGACTTTGGGCGTGGCCCCACCCACATTTAGATAAAAAATCATATCCCCGTGCATATTGACCAATTTCAACCAAATTTGATACATAGGACTATTTTAACATGCTACATTGTCAAAATGGACGCAATCGGGCTACAACCACGCTTACTTCCCTAATAGCACAATTTTAAATTCCATATGATTCGTTCGCTTTCCTTTGCCTTTGATTGTATACCTCAAGTCTAAAAGTTGTCAAAATCGGACCATATCTGTTCATGCCCCCACATACCGAATATGTGGACTTCAGTGCGTATGGGTGACTTTTTTCCGCAAATATCGGTCAAACTGTGACATATATTATATTATTGAAATTCAGAGGAAATGATTTTTGATAATTGTAAAACCCTTGTGTCAAAAATAGCGTAAATAGTGCGCTTATACCTCATATGATTAATATAAAGACTTCGCACTTCCAATTGGCTTAATACCACATATGTATATCGGCAAATGCGCTAGTTATTTTAATGAAATTGAGAAAACGTGTTTTCCTAATAACAGTGTATCTTTGTGCCTAATATGGATAGAATGGAAGAAACGTCCGACTGACTTTACTACATATACATATACGTTTTTATTTATATATTTATAAAATTGCTTCAAAATAAGTTCTCAAGTATACCTGAACAGTGTCAAAAATTAATGTAATTAGCCCTTCCATTTCTCTTGATTCTCTCCATACCATCTGACTTTAAACCGTTTAGCTTGGTGAAAAAGTGTGATATTTTAATAAAATTAAGTGAACACGTTTTCCTAAAAGTTATAAAATTATATTATCCCTAATATAATGAGTTCCAATCCTTTAGTTGACGTTTTCCACATCAACCCAATATATAATATAAAATCGAACAATGAAGTTAAAACTTTTCAATACATTTTTATACTCTCGCAACTAGTTGCTACACAGTATAATAGTTTTGTTCACCTAACGGTTGTTTGTATCACCTAAAACTAATCGAGTTAGATATAGGGTCATATATTATCCGGTTGACTGTCTGTCCGTCCGTGCAAGCTGTAACTTGAGTAAAAATTGAGATATCTTTATGAAACTTGGTAGACATGTTTCTTTATACCGTGAGACGGTTGGTATTGCAGATGGGCGTAATCGGACCACTGCCACGCCCACAAAACGCCATTAATCAAAAACAAATAAATTGCCATAACTAAGCTCCGCATTAAGATACAAGACTGTTATTTGGTACACAGGATCACATTAGGGAGGGGCATCTGCGGTTAAAATTTTTTTAAAGTGGGCGTGGTCCCGCCCCTAATAGGTTTAATGTGCATATCTCCTAAACCGCTAATGCTATAACTAAATTCACTGCAAACAAACGTTTTTAGCACCTCTATCGACAGTGTGAAAATGGGTGAAACTAGGTGACATCTCCGCCCACTCCCCATATAACGGTACTGTTAAAAAGTACTAAAATCGCGATAAATCAAGCACTAAACACGCCAGAGACATTAAATTTTATCTCTGGAATGGTATAAGATGATTTTATAGGAACCACGTTCAAAATTAGATAGTGGGCGTGGCACCGCCAACTTTTAGGTGAAAACCCATATCTTGGGATCTGCTTAACCGATTTCAACCAAATTCGGTGCATAACGTTCTTTTCATATTTCTATGTTATAGTGCGAAAATAAGCGAAATTGGACTACAACCACGCCTATTTCCCATATAACACCATTTTCAATTCCATCTGATCCTTTACTTTCCACTAAGCATATCAATCAACAATTATTATATCGGGGTAAAACTTTGCGTGAATAATACGTTTAAAGTATGCCACCTTGTGACCAAAAGCTGTTTAAATCGAACTAAAACTGTTCAAGCCCCTAACTACTAAATATGTGGACCCCAGTGCCTACAGTTGACCTTCTACCGAAAATATCAGCCAATCCACAAGGAAATCTCAAACGAGTATACCATTTGACTTTGCGAGAGTATAAAATGTTCGGTTACATCCGAACTTAGCCCTTCCTTACTTGTTATATAAAGTTTTACCTACTGTATTTAGCCAGCTTTGATCTCTGCAAGTTGCAGGATTATAAAATGTTCGGTTACGCCCGAACTTAGGCCTTTCTTACTTGGTTTGCTTAATATTATCTTAAACCCAAAGCGAAAATACATGATTATTACTATAGATGAATATAGATAATGAACGAAGGACTAGTCAAAATTTTAATTTTTGCCAAAACTGCGGCTTTCCAACAAAAGGTCGTTTTTTGTGAAAAATTTATACTCATACGAGAAAGTCATGTGAAAATTTCAAGTCGATCAGTCTAGGCGTTTCGGAGTAATTCTCCTCATCAAATCCTAAAACAGAGTTTGAGAAAAACGCGTTTAAAGTTTTGAGAACCGACTATACTAAGTAAAAAAGTTCTAACAAATACGCTCATATCTCTGACACTTTTTGCCGAATCAGCTTGCACATTCGATGTACCATATATGCGAAAAAAATTGATTTATTGAAATTCACAACTGATTATAACCTTTAAGTAAGTAAGTAAGTATGGTAAGTAAATATTACATATTTTTGTTGCATCTGATCACAAATTAAATAAATAAACTTCTACGGACATTTGGGGTTTAATTAAAAATATTTTTTATATGTATATTTAATGGCGTTTAATGGGTTAACAGATGAAATCAGACAAATATCTAATATTGAAAATAACTGTTGCACACATACTTATGACGAAAATCGAATAATAAACTACTTATAATTTAATTATTGTTGACTTTGAAATCTAACCAAGTGCTAGTACAGTTGATCGTGACATATAAACATGCATAGTGTACATGTATATTATAGACACTCAAGTGATCAAGTGATGTCTATTGTTGTCGCTTTATTGGCATATTTTTTTTTTTGTATTCAAATGGTAATGCTTTCATTATACTCTTGCAACATGTTGTTACAGGGTATAATAGCTTTGTTCACCAAACGGTTGTTTGTGTCATCTAAAAATAATAGAGTTAGATATAGGGTTATATATGTATATGGTATATAAATGAGCACTATGGTGAGACGAGTTGAAATCCGGATGTCTGTCTGTCCGTCCGTCCGCGAGAGCAATAACTTGAGTAAAAACTGAGATTTTGTTATGAAACTTGTTCCTTTGTTAAAAAAAGGAGGATAAGGTCGTAGATGGGCATTATCGGACTACTGCCACGCCTACAAAACGCCATTAATCGAAAACCTATAAAAAGCTATATACAAGAGGGCTTTATAGGAACCGGGGTCAAAATTTAACGATGAGCGTGGCACCGCCCACATTTAGGTGAAATCACATATCTCCGGACCTACTCGACCAATTTCAAACAAATTCGGTACATAACATTACCCTGACGGTCCTATGTTACATTGTGAAATGACACAATCGGACTATACCCTCGCCTACTTATAGCACAATTTCAAATTCCATATGATTCTTTCACTTTCCAGTACGCAAATCAAACACCTATGAATATATTCGAGTAAGACTTTGCACAAATAGTGACTTTGAGGTATGTCATTAAGAGTCGAAATTGTCAAAATCAGACCATATCTGTTCAAGCCCTTTTGCCGAAAATATCGGAATATAACTGATATTCAGAATTTTGAAACATCCGGCTAACTGTGCCTCATGTATATATGATAATATTTATATATAATATTTATAAAATTGCTTGAAAATAAATTCTCAAGTATGACAGAGCAAGTTTTGCCAACAATTGAAGGTGTTTTGCCGGCTTTGCAAGAGTATAAAATGTTCGGTTACACCTGAACTTAGCCATTCCTTACATGTTTTTGTTTAGATTACATATGTACCTAAATATTTACAAACTTATCATTCTTGGTAGATTAACATTGTTATATTATTATACAATAGTACTGTTATACTACTGCATAAAATTAATCGTTTGATATAATTTGATATAGAATTCGTAAACTTGTACTTAGTTTAATTGGCGGACGTGTTAAGCACTAACAGATCAGGACAACATGTATCTTTATTTTCCAAATCTCTATCCAGTAGAGTAAGCTTTAACACATTCCCTGGCCCCTTCCGAAGTTTAACAAAGTCTCTTGGGTTACTATATTCGATGACACCTATTGAACCTTGATGACCATGGACTCTCCTGTTTTGCCTTTGAAGGCTGAGAATAATCTATTCTGGGATCCAGATCCATTGGCAGGATTCAATAGATCACATTCTTGAAATCATATATTATAATCCTTCGGTTATCGCTGAGAGAACAGAGTGACTCCACGTTTATAGTATGGCGATAATGATTCCTCGATTGTTTCCCGTTGGTTAACTCTAATCGGCAGAGAGTCCGACATGCACAAGCAACGAGCTGATGAGGTTATTTGTTGTCGAGCCAGCAACTAAAAACATTGTGAATGCGCCGCTGAAGCAAATATGCACTGATTTGCATGTGATATTCTTGGGAAAATATAAATAAGCACGTAAATGCTTGTTAAATGAGAGAATGAAAGATATTCCAAAAAGTTAAGTTTAAGGTTTGCACAGGGTTGCTTAGACCGCGTTCACACACGACGACTTTTATGGCTTATTATCGGTAAATGCTCCTTTGCTGTTGCCCATTGCATTGACACAGGCGACATGGTGTAGAAAAATATTTCTTATTGAGTAATTTTTATCCTTATTCAACTTTTTCTAAAATATTTATATTATATGTGTGGTATATGCAAAAATATACGTAAAAATTAAAATTTTCGACCATAATGTATATCTTTAGTTGAAACCGTGCAACAAAGGAAAGAATTTCAAAATGAAATAGAATGCCGAATTGTGTATCAGCGAACTGTTACGAACAAGAACGACTAGTTTCAGCGACAAAACCTCTCTTGCGTGAACGCAATCTAAAACAACCCTGTGAGAAATGTGTAAACTTAACTTTTTGGAATTTCTTTAGTTTTTTTGTTAAACATGCTTATTTTTATTTTTCTAATCAGGTTATATTTTTTTAACAGGGTTTCTTTACTATTAGAGTTCCTCTTGTTCTGACCACTGGTCTAGTTCTATCCTCTTTCGTCTTGACTTAGTAAAATAGTATTGGTGGTTTGTGAAACATCCTTAATTTTATTGTAACTGTATATAACATTGTTCAAACATTTTTGGGAAATGTATCTTTAAATGAATGGAGATCCTTATATGTCCGAATGAACGATTGCCGTTGTATTTAATTGTCTTTGAAGAATATCAAAAAATTTCAAAATTGTTTTATTTTTAGGCGACTGGATGAGTATACCCGCCGGAATACCGAATTGTCCACGCGGCTTGGAGTACCTTACGATGGTCGACCAGCTTTTGGTTAAACAAAAAGTCGAATTACTCGAAGCTTTCACCGGTTTCGAAACCAATAATAAATTCTCGATAAAAAATGCGCTCGGTCAAAAAGTCTATTACGCTGTCGAAGATAATGATTGCTGCACACGTAATATGTGTGGCCCTGCACGTCCTTTTGATATGAAAGTTTTTGATAATTTCCGCAATGAAGTCATCCATATGTATCGCCCATTAGCCTGTTCGGCATGTTGTTTTCCCTGTTGCCTACAAACAATGGAAGTGTCCGCACCACCGGGCAATATAATTGGCTCCATCGAGCAAGAATGGTCCATCTGTTCGCCTTCATTTCGTATTAAAAATCATATTGGCGATACTGTGTTACGCATCGAGGGACCCGTTTGCACGTTTTCAATGTGTGGTGATGTTGAATTTAAGGTAAAATATCAAATTTGAAACTGCAATTCTTTATCTAATACATATTTGTCATTATCAATATAGGTGGTTTCTTTAACCGGTGAACCTGTGGGAAAAATTTCAAAACAGTGGTCTGGTTTGGCACGCGAAATATTCACCGATGCAGATTTCTTTGGTATTACCTTCCCGATGGACTTGGATGTGCGGATGAAGGCTGTACTTTTGGGTGCTACTTTCCTTATTGTAAGTATTCGGCCGGACCCGATTATTAGAGCATTCCAATTTCATATTTGTGTATATACAATACATATATGTTATATTATATTGAACAGCGGTATAGCGTTAAGTTTTATCGTTTGAAATTGTTAAATCGCGTGCGTCGAAGAATTTGAGGACTGAGGTAAAATTAAAAAAACAAATAATTAGTAGAAAGTGTATGAAAAGTAGTTGGCTAATAGATGTACATACATATGTATGTGTATATACCACTATATGAATAAATGTTACAAATATTAGTTGCTTGCGGACAGAGTATTAAGCTAGTGTTAAATTTATGGTATATTTATTATATATATATATTTATTTGAAACTTCACCTACTTTTAATTCATAATGAAATTTAAATATTTTTTCAGGATGCCATGTTCTTTGAAAAACAAGCAAATCGTGAAACCGACCGTCCAGGCATGTTCTAAACAATACGGCTCTTAAAAAAAAACAAGTTTATTACAATCAAAACATACACACCATTTGGTGTTATATTTGATATATTAAATTTTTTTATCTCAATAATCTATTCGAATGTAAAAAATACAAATTTTTTTGATATAATATGACGGACTAGTCACCTTTAAGCCAAAGTAAACACAAAAATGGATTGAAAAAAAATATTTTTAAACTGCAGTGAACATATGAATTTAAGAAAAAGCTTTCATCGCTTTTAAAGTTTGATATATTTATTTATATAAATTGTTGTACTAAGTCAAGAGAATTCCTTATTAAAAAATGTAATGTATGTATATACTCACTAAAATGTCATGTACAATAACTGTATAGAGTTTAGCTAGGCAAAGTACTTGAATTGTACGATTTTTTTACTGTTATTTTTATAAATGTTCCTTTGTTTTATAAATAATTGGTTATAATCAAATACGCGTTGCCTTATCGCCATAAATGTGTGTACAAATGCACATATACTATGTATGTATATGCATATATGTATATATACGTATGTATGAATCTTGTATGTATTAAATTGTTTGAATAATTGTACCAAAAACTGAAATAAAAATTTAAATAAATGTCCACTTCATCAATAAATAATTTTGTTTTTGTAATGCTACGGTTTATTGTCGACTATTTATCCTTTCTTATCGAATAATATAATTCCGCTCGGTACCCTCAGACCTCGAGTAATTAAAAAAAAATGATCAAAGTGATTTAAGGACATGTCAGAGAACGGGACGGCTTTGCACAGAAATTAAAATTTCAGAACCCTATGGCAAAATAATGGTTAAGCCCAGCCATTGCAAAGAAAAAGATTCCTAATCACTTGGAGATGACCTCTTTTGGCAGAAACATTCATGCCTTCAAATTACCATTTTTATTACCTATTTAACTTATATTAGTTTCTACAAACTCAATACTTAAAAACTAGATAAAGTATAAAGTTCGATTCAATTCGAGTCAAACATGGTCAATAATTAGAGCCTTTTAACCCACCTAGTGTAGAATTTTGAAAAATATTTTTTGAGTTACAGACTTCTAAGTGTAGTTGCTCAGTTCGTTCACCTGTATAACACCACAAATTATCCGATCACTACCATATTTCTTCGGCATGTTATGTATATAGTTATCCATACTACCAAAATTTTGGGTAAAATTAACCTTTTTTAAAACGGCACCATTTTTTTTAATATTTGATTTTTTTCAAACCGTGTGGATAATATATTCTAGTCTAATCACTGCATCAGTGGAAGTCGTTTTTTTAGTGCCATCAGAGATTGCGTTCAGGCTATGAATATGTATTATAAATAATATTAGAAGCGGGGTTAGAGCGAATTTTCAAAAGGGTTGTCTACCTTTGCGTTTTGAACAAATCAATTTTGTTTTTAACTCATGTAGATAACTAGAAAGACGATCTATAAAAGATTTGATCGAAAGCATGTTCGTTTACGAGATATCGAACCTCAAACCAGGCCACGTGCTTACTATTTACGCCACGTCATTTATCTTTAAACGCGTTTTTTCAAAAGTAGTGCTTTTTAATTTTCGGCACCATTCTTACGAAATTAAAAAAGACATTCAAGACCTTTTTTTTGGAAACAAATTGTTTTCGATTTATTTACAGCTAAAAATCTAAAAAAAAAAACAAGGTAAAAAAATTCACTTTTTTCAAATCGCTGCTATTTTGTCGGATTTGAAATATTCAAAGTCGACTACGTCGCACCGGGAGTGGTGCATTCAAAGACGCTTTAAGGGCAAAGTTTTGTTTTTCTATATCTATCAGAGGTGTTGTGGAATCCAAGCTAGATCTGCTTAGTTGTTGAAATTTAGCTTGCATTTACTTGTATGCTTGTAAGTATTTACACGCTTAATTTACAGATTTTGATATCACTGAATAAAGACACATTTGTTATGATGTAAAATTACGTTTATTATATTTACCATCCACTTAAAATATCTGCATTTTCTCCATAAACTCAATAGCTATGGCATTTTGTGTTTTGTTCTTGTGTTTTTCCCCATAAAAATGAAGATAAGTTAAATACATTAATTTCTTTACTAACATTTAAAATATATCAGCGACTATTCCCTTGCTTTGTTTATGATAACAAAAGTGATAAAATTGGTTTTCGGGATGCCCAAAACCGATACAATTTCTGTTTTGAACATCAAGCCAATAATATCTGAATTCATGACACCTACTACATCTTTTTATCGGTTTCAATTCTGATTCCGACAACTATCAGATTCTACAACATCCCTGTATATCTCGAGTATTTCCTTAAGAGATTATGGTGAGAATGTCACAAAAAATAAGAACAGTCAGTGAATTTCCGAAATAAAAAAATTCAGAAGTTCCCGTAGTTTCAAGAAACCTTGTCAGAAATAATATGTGTAAGATGTTGCGATAGTATAAAAAACATTAAACAACAGAGTCATAGTGAACTGATGAGCATTAAATCTAATATTATAGTTTGTGGCAGTGCGGCGAACAATGGAGTTAAATACTTGGTACAAAATTTCACTACAAAGTAAAATATACATTTCTTGTAATAATTGTTGAATTCTTTGGCCACTTTTGGTTTTTTAACAAAAAGTTTTGCCAATGTCTAAAGGTATTTCGGTTCGGTTACACCTGAACTTATACCATTCTTACTTGTTCTATTTAAAAACCCTTCAAAATACTATCAACTAAGACGTCAGCGTAACAGTTGATAATAGCCAATTTGCTGAGAACGAGAAAGGGGATATCTGTTTACAACAGACTGGCACACAATATAAGAGTATTATTTGAAAATCTACCGCTTGTCAGGATTAGAATTTACAATTTTCGTTAAATGATAATCTAGGTAATATTCTATCAGCTTTCATCGATAGAGCTGGATTTTTAGCCGTTCTCTACAGACGCTAACGACAAAGCACAACATGTACAAAAAGAAATAACAAATAAAAGCGAAAAAGTTAAATAAAGGCACTCTCTTGCACTCACTGGAGCTAACATCATCGTAGATGCCATACGCACTGAACCGATCAGAGACGCTAATAGAAATTACCAACAATGCGATGCATTAGTTGTAATACGAAGCAGTGTATAGTGTTTCAGCCGGAGAAAGCAGTTCGCTCTTGCATGTCTCTGGCGTGGCTAGTGTGCGCGGTTACTTGACGTCTTACTTGGGCTTGCCGCTGCTGCCTTATTACGGAAATGACATTGATGACAGTTCTGCACAAACATTACCAAATATCGGAAGCTTTGTAGCTCATCACGTCGCGTAATAGTCGCATGTGATTACTTACAACATCAATTGATTTTTCCAACAATTGTCGCAATTCTGCCAATTATGCATCATATGAATACAATTTGTGAAATAATAGTGTGACGAAACATAAATACAACCGAATTGATTAGTGAGTAATAAGTGTCACGTGGAAAGTGCTGCGGCCGCCTAAAAGCATTGAAATTTATTTCTGTAATAATATGCACATATTTTAAGTGCAAGTGTAACAAAATATATCAAGCTAATTGAGTGTAAGTGCATAGGGGCAGCGGAAATTAAATCAATTGGGCTAAGCACGCGGCTTCGAATGTGGCTGCACTATGTTCCTGATCTCGACGATTGTCCATTACGTGGTGGCGCTTTACAAAATCTTCAAAAAATTCATGTGAGTTGTGTAAACAAAAAAATTACTAAATTTTTAATTTATTATAATAATCAATATAAAAGTGTGTGTAAGGTTTTTTTCGATAAGTTTGTAAATTTCATCGCTTGATTTTGACATAGCGACACTCACCATTCACCACTTTGCCAGTCATGATTCGTTCTCATTTGCATATTACCTAATTTCATTAAGACGTTGGTGTTAGCAGTAGAAAGTTTTGCCTGTTAAATACAATATGAAAACACACAAGCATACATTGCACTAACGTTGTAAAGGAATATCGACAAAACAACGTGTGTATAATTATGGAATGTACATAAGGGTGGACCTTATTTATGTTAAATACATATTTTATTTAAAAACTACACATAACTAATCTTCGAATCGCCAACTATCAGCACACTACGTTAGAGTGCTACTTTTTTTAAACATAAGTGTTATACCCACTAAAAATGGGGTTTTTTAATATATGTATATCAAATATAATAGAGTATATTCTCCGAAAATTTAAAGTTGATCCGGCTAATAGTTTTGGAAATATGAGTGTATTTAAGTCGGTACAGCAAAAAGTTTCGGAGATATGAACGTATTTGTAAGATTATTTTAACTTAACTTAACTAAACGATTTGTTCTGGAAACACTACCTTCAGAGTCAGTGAAGAAAATTTGTCTGAAACTGCTGGACTGATCGACTTGAAATTTTTACACAACCTTCTTCGATTCAAATAAGAAAGTGTTTGATAATAATTTCGATTTTAAAGCTACTCTGAATTGTAAATTTTTTCTCAAAAAACTTCCATTTTGTGGCCTTCCCAAATTCCATTTAAGATCTATAACGACTTACCATTATACATACATTTATGTTATATATTTTATTATACCGCTATATTTGATTTGCCATACTCGACTTTTTTTCGATTGGCATTTTTGTCCATTATATTATGGATTGCAGGTCACTAGATTCGACAAATAGGTGAAGAAGCTAAAATTTCTACTATAGTTTGACCAGTTTGATTCATATTTATTTAAATTTCTTAATGACATTGAAAGATTCATATACAAATATACTCTATTGTTATTAATTTCGGAAAAAACTTAAATATTATATTTCAAGCTTAACTATAATTTGTGTACTGTTATCTAAGCTCGGCGTTATGAACTAATTATGAATAATCCAAAAAGAATTCAATAACCTCTAAACTTTTTTACAAATAAGAATTGTACTTAAAGAGGGAAAATAGTCTTAAGTATAGAATTTGCTTCGAAAGGAACTTAAATCCACCACACACAGTAAAACGGTATACCCTTATGTATTAAATAAAAAGGTATTATTAATTACTAGCAATACTTTCTTACTATTTGTTTATTTTTCCAACAAAAGACGAACGAATGTATAAAAAAGGTGATAGAGAGGAAAACAGAATAATAACTTAAAAGCTACGAGAGCACGTGCATGCACATTTCTCAGCTAATATTTGCTTCTGGTGAACTTTTGATTAAAGGTCGAAATGTAGAGCTACATATGACATATATATGTATATATGTACACATGTATACAAGAAAAAAATATATTTTTTGACACATGTAATGACTTGTAAGTCTTTCAAATATATTAATACTTTTAGCGTGTTTAGTAAGTTATTTTATCAGTTATGGAAAGATATGAACAAAAAATAACTGTTTCCAATTGCCAACAAAAAATTACACGAAATATAAACAATTGATACTTTTGCTCCACTATTTTATTAGCTCTGCTCCATTCTCCCTATATAAGCAGCAGTTATTCTCATCTCAAATTTTACAAAGTCAATTGAGAGCACTTTTATTCTCACAACTTTTATTGCTGTTTGCTTATTGCAGCAGAGCTTTCCAGTGAATTGAGTTGCCCGTACGCATGTACTAACATATTTTGTTAGGGCTACACGGCAATGACGAAGTTACATGCTTACTCCTTGAATGCTGCTTATATTTTTCCCCTTTATAATTTCGATAGGTTTTTTTACTTTTATAAATATATTTTTATATATTTAAAGGCTCCAAGACGGTCTGATGATGAACATTATGACTTATGATTGTAAAATATTAAATATAATTCAATAAATTTATTGTAGAATTGTAAAAAATTGAATTGTTTAGGAAAAATAATGGTTGGTTGACTTTTATAAACTATCGAAGTACAGTTATTTATTTTATAAATAACTAAATATCATAATGATGAAGAACGAGCAAGGCTATTTCTTTTTTGTCTTGCAAGTTTTGTTAGTTCCAACTAACGAATAAAGTTGTTCTAATAACTTTAAAGACAACGACTTGCTGGTAAAAACAAATTATTCACTCTAACGTTGCTTTCAGCACCGGTAAAAGATTCAAGATTTGAGAAAAACAAACTCACTCAAAGGAGTAAACCAGCGCACATCACTTTGTAGTAAATCTTTGCCAGAAGCGCCTCATTCATTTCACGCTCTGTTTACTTATATAATACAGCAGCAATATGCTTCTCATTTGCGCTTTTTTGTTTTCTTTTTTTTTAAGTGAGTATTTACATTTGATTATCCTTATCAGAGAACGCCGACAAGCGTGTCGTGCTATATGTATTATATATTCAGCATGGTGTATGTGTGTATATAGCTTGTATTATGTATAAAAGTTATTGCAGTGTTTTTATTAGAGCTTAGTTGACTTCGAATTGAGTGCGCATACTGATCACACAAGGTTTACCCCAACGCTGTTGTACACTTTAGTTTCGCCATTGGTCCGGTGCTATTTGGCTGTTGGATTCCTCTAATTACTCTTCATATAGTATTTGCCAATTGTTTGTCATGTGTGCCTTTAGTGAAAAAAGTATTTCCTCCAAAGAGTATATCACGAGCAAAAGTGAAACTGTGCAGTGTTCCTTATAAAAAACAAAATTTTTCCAAAAGATTTCATAATTTGTGTACCGATTTACTTACTAAAGTGCTAATCATTGAAATCGTGTACGCGTGTACCATAATACAATTAAAGTAAAATCCCCAGAAAAAGTGCTTCTAAGCGCATAAAAGCAATTCTATCCGGTTTTAAGAAATTCGCGCTGGTTTTATTTACTTGTTTCGAAACAAGTGCACTTTGAAATCAATCCATGGAAATGGTAAGCATAACATCATCATAATGAACCCATTTACGACTGATAGTGGGCGAGCGTGTTGTATTTGTTTGCCTATAAATTACATATAATTACATATGTATTTGTATGGTGATTATGTATGTATGTATATGCAACGCGGCAACAACTCGGCAGAACAAAACTACATAATTACTTTACGAATAAACATAAGCATACTTCCCTTTAATCTGGTTGGTTGGCAATTCTACATTCGGTGAGACGGCATATTGATAAAGGAAACTGGAATTGTTATACCTTGAACAAGGTATATTAATTTTCGAATGAAGTTTGTAGTATATATGTTTTAGGTAATTGTACCATATATAAATGATCAGCGTGACGAGCTGAGGTGATGGAAAACTTTTTTATTACCATCACGAATGCATGATTTAATTTCGAAAGCAATGCTACAATGTCGAACAAATTGTTTAGATCGGACCACTGTAGTATATAGCTACCATACCGATCAGAATCAAGATAAAGACCTTTTTATAACCTTTTATGCTATTAGAAATACACCTAGAGGGTGTTAAGGCGTCGGTGGAGCCTAGCTAACGTTTTCTAAGGTTTTAAAATAAAAAAGGGTTAAATAATTATCAAGGTATGTTAATTTCAAAATTTATCATATGCTCGTTGTGTGTTCGATTGTTTCAATAAAAATGTCTTAAAAAACTTGTTTGAAAAGCTACCAATCTGACAGATTACTCAAGTTACTAACCCATAGAAAGCTGGACATTTGACTTTTATTCGTAGCTTCAGAGAACACTGTACAGTATGACTACATTTTCGAGCTTTGTGAATATTTCACAAGTTTGCTTAACTAATTTTTTTAATGGAGTTGAATAATATTTTCAAAATGGGTTTTTATAATCTATATAATTTAAAACGAAAGGTCTATCTTTACTACCCAAAAAGTGCTCTCTATGAGTCAGTGTGCATACTTTATTAGCTTTACAACTATCCACGAGGCTTATTTGAAGCGTACAAAAATTGGTTTTGTGGGAGATTTATGACTCTTCTATAATTAATTGGTGAATGCAACGTTTAAAAGTACACTCAGATGGATCAAATGAGTGTTCAAATAACCAAGACTCCATCTTTCGGTTGAGTTAACCCGAATATAACTGACAGCTGGTTGCTAACCAGACATTGGAAAACGGCCATCCATCGTTTAAAACTTACGGTGTTACCTTCAAATAGTAAATTAATTCGTCTCTGAAGACATCAACTTGATTCGGAAAGTCGACGAGTTTATATTAGGTAAAATTGTTTAAATTAGAAAATGTTTTTGTGCTCTTGACAGAATACGCTATGAGGAATGTAACAACTGAGAAGGCTTACTTTTTCGAATGAAGAATATTCAACAATAATATTGGTTCTTTGGCCAAAGAAATATCCAAGAAATGAACTAAATTTCGAAAATTCTTACCGATGTGGCTACATGGCTTATATGTATACAAATATATATTAATTTCTTCTTCTTGTTTATTATTTATAATTAGATCACGAAATGTAACGTAATGATTGTGATTTCCCATAGCTTCTGTTTCCTCTCAGAAACACCAAGCAGTCAAGTTCAATGAAAAACACGCCGCAGTGTGTACAAAATTAACAAAGCAAAAGTCGGCCTGTTGGCAACGAGAAAGTGCGTTGGTGAAATAACTGAAGAAATATGCAAAAGTTGGAAAAATAACAACTCGTGGCTAATACAAGTAGTATATGAGATAGTATACATATATTTTGCAATTATTTTACATATGTACATATGTATATATATATATATGCGCCAATATATGTGTGTATATAAGTGTACTTTTATCTTTGCTTACGCGGTAGACATGCAATTGCAAATTAGCCAAGAGATCGAAAAGCGTCTGGCACGGTGAGTGTTTCTGCAAACATATGTATGTATTTACATATGTTACGTACATGTATGTATAAATGTTGGGAAACAAGTGTATGGCGCACATGGCAATTGATAATAGCCACCATAATTAGGCAGGCCATGTATGTTTTCTTCTTAAAAGCAAAACAACTAGTTGTTCTTGCATACCATATATGCACGTATTCATGTTGATATTTTAATATGCGCTATAGTGCATGTGTAGAAATATAATAAGTGAAATATTAAGAATGGATTCAAGACCACAGAAGCATTTTGATAGCATATTTGTGTATGTAAATTCAATTCCTAGGTATTAGGATGTGTACACAGCGTATTAAATATGTCAGTTGAAAGTAATCGCGTTTTATCTGTATTTCATAAAACATTTCTATTCCGTTTCCATTCTCATACATACGTACATACATCTTAATATATCAATAAACGTCTGTCTGAAATATATTGCATAAATTATGTGCATATTTATGTATTTGTTATAACTATGCGAAATTTTCTTCATACATTTTATTTTATTTTCCCATATTGACAATAGCACATTTATACACATACATACTAATATTGTATGTATATTTTTATTTATTTGAAGCAAGAAATAGCGTATGGCATACTTCTAGGCAGCATCAGTTGATATTTTACTCGTTTCTACCATTAAGGTGCCACTTAAATGAGTAATTGATTTTTTGTTTTTCATTACAAATATTTCTCTTACACTACATAATTAACCAGATCACTTGGGTAAGAGCACTTTTTAGTATATGGATATGTAATATATCAAGGAGATATACGTAAGTATTATATTATTTATGTATGGCTACATATAGATTTCGTACATGGCTGCCCCTCAGTTAGCCATAATTAGTGGCAGAAATTATATGAATTAAATTCAAATATCTCGCAATGTGTCCTCCTACCTAGGTTCTACTCTAAAGTCAACCTAATTCACATAAATTCGTAAGCATACGCCGGGGGAACCTATATACTGATATAACTAAATTTTGTTACGGAATCACTTTCAACTATTAGCGCTGTAATATAATTTTATTAAGATATCTGACGCTCTTAAAATGCGTACGGTGTTAAGCCAACTAGAGGACAATTTACGTGACGAGCTGAGTCGATTTAGTCCGTCTGTTCTTCTGTCTGTATATATGCGCATAAGTCCCTCAGTTTTTGAGATATCTATCTGGGATCATAGGCAAGTCTTTTTTTCCTCCCGTTTCGTCATTTGTCGCTTATAACATATATCTGCCAAACTAACTGAATGATCATAATCAAGTTCTTGTTTAAAAAACTTTTTTATTTGACAATACTTTGTATATATGGACGAAATTTTGTATGCGTGATGGGTATTATGGCTTCGGTGCAGCCGAAGTAAACGATTTCTTTCTTTGCATGAGTAGCAACATGTAGGAAGAATATAATAGTTTTGTTGTTTTGCACCTTAAACTAATCAAACGAAACGAGTTGAATTTCGAGTGACTGTCTGTCTGTCAATTTGTTCGTCTATCCGTACTTCGATGATTGGAAAAAAACGCTGCCATAAGCTGGCATATCTAGGGGTGATTACTTTGAAGGGGATAAAATAGATATTCATGAATAAATAAAAACTTTTTTGAGAAATACAGATTTCACGCTACTTTTTGAACAAACCTCGTACCCTATATAGTGATATGTGTGTCTTATTTAAGAACGATTTTAATATAATTTTCGCTGATGGGAAGTGAAATATAGTTATAAAACTAAGTCTATGATCTATAATACAAGTTAATAAGATTGTAATTGAATGAAATGAAATTTGATTGTAATCCATTCATTATTTTGTCGAACAATGTATGTTGAATTCTTTCGCAACATTTTTAAAATAAAGTTCTGCCAACAACTGAATGCATTTCCCCGGCATTGATCCTGGCAAGTTGCAATAGGAATCTAGCCTTCCTTACTTGATGTTTTTAAATAGCTTCAAGGACACCATAAACATACATTAGTTTTCTTTAGGAAAATGTATAACATCAAGAATTGAGAATACGAAGTTAAGAAATATTTCTCTATGTATATTTTTTAGTTTATATTTTCAGTCAATGTTCAGAAGGTATAACATCTAGAATGTTGTAAATAAATAGAAATTTGTAAATAAATAAAGCTAGTCATAAATATGATCTACCTAAAAGCTACTGAGCTCTGGCTTCTTTACTTAATTAACGCGTTCTTTGTGAATACCCTTATTATCCATTTTTGTAAATATAATATTTATTTATACACACCAATATATTCGTACATACATATAATTTGATCAGAGATTATGTGTAGTCATATGCATTTCAATTGCATTTCGCTCGTGCCTTAAAACATTTTGTTTTGTGTTTGTTTTGTGGGCCAGTGTAATTGTTTGCCGGAAATAAATAAAATTTATCTACGAGCATGTGAAAGTGTACTTGAGTGCTTTGAGAATGCCAATCGCTGAAATGCAACTGAACTGTCGTTTATTACATATTAATCAATCACGACAGCTTAGAAAATATGTATGTAGGTGCTTATGCTTTTGATATGTAAGAGATTTATTAGCAATTTTAGTGTAAGAGAAACGAGAGAAAAATTTAAAAATAGTCAAGGCTTATTAGCTTGCAGCGCCTACTGTATATTAATGTCTGTTATTCATGTAAATACATATACATATGTATATATAAGAATTTAATAACTTTATCTGCAACAATACAGTATTTCTTGATTATTTTTTAAGATATTGAAAATGATGAAAAATATGTACGAGCAAAATATTTTATATCACTCTAAAACAACAAAATTGAATATTACCTAAAATTAAAATTAAAATTTTGTTGTTGGTAGATAATTGTATGGAGAACTATATATAGAACATGTAAAAAAAATGATAGTGGTCGGATCATTTGTCTTGAGAAAATCGCGTTTAAAGACAAACTGATGGAGCTGATTGAACTGAGCGGCTACAGTTTGGTATTCAAAGGTATAGTCTATCGAAAGATGAAAAAATCGATTTTAAAAAGTTCCCTGTAAACATGCGTTATTACTAGATAAAATGTACAATATGATCATATGCCTTTCGAGAAGTATGTTAACAATTTAGAAAATTTCTGAAGCATCTTCATGAACTCATACCACGTTTCTGGATGAAGTTTTTGATTTTCAAAACTGGAAAACAATTGGAGATAAGAAACAATTTTACGATCCATGTTCAACTTAAGGCTTGACGATATTTGAAAATAGTTCAGAGCATGCTCCCATGTGTTTCAGTTAGCTCTACGTAATCTCAACTTATTTATAGCCTACCAATAGCTGTCAACTCAGTGGTAAACCACAAAATTATAAATGCTAATCCGAGGAGCTCAAGTACTTTTTTCTTTTTCACTCATTCCATTTATGAGCGCAGCTTAAATTATCTCGAAGCTAAGTTGGGGTTAAAAATTCAAAAAAAAAATATCTAAAATAAAATAAAATGAATGCAAATAAATGGAATGTGGAGGGGAACCTTTAAGTAGAGAAGAAACTTATAAAGAATTAAATTGAGAACCACTCTATATTTTTGAAATATATCGCTTAATAAATCATTTAAGCTCTCAACCATATGTTGGCTTATGAGAATTTCCGCATATTTGTTTGTGGTGTAAAAATATGGTACACAGATATTTTGAATGGATTACAATCAAAATTGGTAACATATTCACTTACTTAAAGGTCATAGACACACTTAATTTTAATACTATATTTTACTTTCCGTCAGCGAAAATTATATATAGAAATGGAATAACTGATTGAATTAATTTTTGACATTGCTCAGGTATACTTGAGAACTTATTTTCAAGCAAGTTTATAAATATACAATATAAATAAAAACGTATGTATGGAAAGTCATCCGGACGTTTTAAAATCGTGAATATCAATTATATGGTGGCTAAGGGAAGTTTCCGCCCGATTTTATCCATTCTAGGCATAAAGATACACTGTTATTAGAAGAACACGCTTTCTCAATTTTATTAAAATAATTAGCACATTTGCCGATATACATAGTATGTGGTATAAAGTCAACTGGAAGTTCGAAAATCGTTATATTAGGTACATGGGGGCTAAGGGAATTATAATATTACGTATATCAATATATATGCGATTTAACCTATTTCGATACAAAGGTATATTATTATTCAAAAAACATTTTCCCTTTATCTAACTCGATTATTTTAAGGTGATACAAGCAACCATTGGCTGAACAAAATTATTTTACTCTGTAGCAACATGTTGCAAGAGTATAACAAAGGGGTTATCAAAACGTTTTTGACGCGTTTCAAGTTAAGTTCTCCTTCAACAAAGAATCGTAGCACAATTTCGTATGCTTCAGAGGACATGCTAGTAGTGCTATATAGTTTGTTCGATTGGTTACTCTCCAATTGAATACAGCTATTGTATCATTCTTTGAACACTCAGAGCTGCTTGGAATGAGTAGAGTTTTAAGGTTAGATTAAAGATTTCTTAATAGGGTTTCGACGAAAGCCGATGTTAATTTTTTGTATTTATGGTTAAAACTTGACATATATGATATATACATGTAGACATATTCATAAATACACAAAAAAATAATATTTAGACACTTAACACTTGGTGTGGAATTAATATATTTGCGAAAAGTATGTGTATATTGTAATCTTTACACAAATATTATCACAAATATGAGTAAACATAAATGGGTGTTACGGTACCGGGTATTGTCTTGGTGAAAGTTTTCATTAAATCTTTTGAAAAAGAAGCTTGATCTGATTTTTGTTATGCAATATATACATATATAACTTAACTTATGTATAAACAATAAAATTCTAGATACGCTTTGTTTATAAGTATCTAAATGACAATTTTTCTTAAATATTTTATAATGCCAAAACAAGCTAAAAAATATAAAATAAATTGTATTCATAAGTGTTTGGTAAGAATACAATTACGTTTTTTTTACCACAATAACGTAGATATTAGATATCCTTAATGACCAACTACTCATCATTACACTTTGAGAGAACCCGAAAATTGTTTGCTCATCCTTAGTTGCAGTGTTTTGTTTACTGTTTTGACTGACATTACGGTGCAAGCACAAAAAAGTAATAAACAACAAATTGAATTAAATATTTGAAAACACAAATCAAAACGAAGTAATGATAAATTGCAAGAAACTACAGTGTTGACCAACAAAAACAATGACAATAAGAAATTCAATAGCACTTTTAGCAAACTAATCAGCTCACAACAAAAACACTACCAACAGGCTGGTTTTTTTGACAGTCTGACATAAAGCGACGCAATACTTACCTGTAGGTAACTGTATGCTGACAGAGTATGTGTGCGATCGGACAACAGCTAATAACAACAAAAACAACGGCAGCATTAATTGCAACAATGAATAAGTTTATATGGTAACGTCGCCTTGCACTGTGGTCCAAAATAGGCTTTGAACACGAATAAGCGTTTTTGCTAAAAGCAAAAAAATTGTTAATTAAATGGATTAAAATATTGAATAATTTTGCAATTTAAGGAGCTTAAAAAGATTACTGTGGAAAACCTTCATATAAAACCCACAATAATTTGGAGACTAAAATGATTACGGTCAAAATTAATTTCGGCTGAGATTTGGTAATAGCCTCGAACTAACTCGCAAGAATTCAAAATTCAAAATAAGAGGTAAACATGTTGGCAACAAATCCAAAATTGAAGCATGAAGTTTTATATTAAATACGCCATATTTAATGGAATAATATATTTGTAAACAAGCAGGTCATACCTATATATTGATTACTTTTAAAATGAGATGGAAATATAATGAATAAATTATTTTGATACTTCATGTTAATATGAAAACATATATCCCTAAAAGGGATTTTTATACCGAAGTGAGTTTCAAATATTATTTAACCTTTCGGATGATTAAAATCAGAGTTGAAAGAATACCAATTTTCTGAGTATATCTCTTCCGCTTCAGGTGAGATAATTGACACCACAATTCTGTTATTTATTAGAGATAAAGAGCTTCAGACGTCCAAATTTTCTAACATTTTAACTTTATTCACACAAATGGCAGCTTTGCGTCACTGTGCAATGACTAGCAGCCCACCGAGCCAAACAGCTAGCCAGTTAGCCAGCCTGCTAGCCGATGTTGTGAATGCTGTTAGCCTCGATCTAGCGAATATAAATAAGAAATGCCGCTTGCTGCTCGGATTACTAGTTCAATGTTCTAAACGTAAAGTGCACACGCGAGTTGAATTGTGCGGAACCAAATTAAGCTGAACTTATCTGACATGCAGTTGACTAATAACTCAAACGGTTAAAGGAAAAGTGAAGATCAACGAGATATTTTTTTTAACTATAAAATAAATTTATGAACAGTATTGAGTGATTTTGTGAATTTGAAAAATAAAAATATATAAATGATATTAGAGGGAAATTCATAAATAATGTGAATACCCAGTGAATAAGATAAATAAATACAATTATTCAAAATATTAGTTAAATAAGACGAGTAAATCAAATCAATTCCTAATAAATCAATCCTATCGATTGCATGGAGAATTTTTAACAAGTTCCTTTTACTACTTTGTATACTAACACACATTCTTAACTAGAGGTAATCTCTTAATTGGATCATACCATGCAATCTCATCAGGATACCTTCGGCGCTGAGACGACCAAACGATATGGTCATCGCCGCACACCCACGCTGGGCAAAGCTATGCCTGTAACATCATTACTCCTACACTTTCCGCCACCTTCCGTGTCTTCTATGCGTAACAGTTGCATGCGTGATGGACGTACACCGGATGAAGAGCGACCGCCAGTATTTTTCCAACTAGAACCAAGTTCTTACTCATCTAATACGAATGACAACCATGGCACCGAAAAGGACAACAGACATGACGACGCGCACTCTTCGAGTGATGAGCTCAACCTTGAAAATGAATACGACTTACTCGTTTCAGAGTGCAGCAGCAATGGTGACGATGAAGCATCAGACAATGAGCACGCCATATCCATAGTGGGCAATTCAGTTTTCTATACACCCTGTATGACGTGTACAGATAGTGCGCCAGGCGATATGGGCGCACGCGCCACCGCCATCAATGAGATGTGTCGTAGGTTATGCACTGATGAGTGTCGACTGCGTTTGAGTCTGGCCGGCTTAGAGCCGCCATCTGCGGCGGCCTTGAAGTCTCAAGAGGCTTTGGCTGAGTATGTGAAAGACACATGCCTACAGCAAAGACCACAGCTCCAGCACACTTTCTCAGAGGATACAGTATGTGCCAGTTTAATGAATGAGCAAAAGGCGGGCGGTGTAGATGAAGTGGATAGAGTAGCGACAGCTGTAGGAAGACCAATAACTCTCCCTACGAATCTAGTCACGTCCGCCACTACAGCAGATACACCTACGAATAGTATGCGACCGCCCTCATGTATTGCCATTCAACGTAAAAAATTTCTCACGGATATTTTAACAGCCAGCTCGAACGATACAGACAGTGATTCCAGTTTTGCGGACGAACAAAAAGAAAAGGCAGGAGACCATTCGAAAAAATTCATTCAGTTTATCAATAATTCAAGTAAGCCAGCACGTGATCTGGCTGATGGAACTACGACGACCAAGCCAGACGACGATTGCTACGATGGTGGTCGCACTCACTGTCAAAACGACAAAGCTACGAATGCCCCAGTCGTTGATCAATATGAGATGGCCATGCTGAAGGACTTCCGTGAGAAATTCGCGATTGCGGAAGCATTGGCAAAGACCTCAGCAATGACCTCTACGGTGCAAATGAAACAACGGCTGGCGGCGCGACAACTGGAAATTACAAACGCAAATGCGAATGCTGCCAAAGCTGCCACAGCGGCAAACAAAGACGGCTGTATGTCGCCAACGAAAAAGCACCGACATCGACGACGTGGTGAGCAACATCAAAAGCGACAACAACAAATCCAACAAAAAGGTGTGCCGCCAGCCAATTTTGCGTCAACACATAACGCATTAACGCAATCCAATAACAATAACGCGATTCATTCGATCGATGTGAACAGCCGCATTGATAACAACAACGATAAAGACAACAACTACCACGATGCAAGCGCCGAACGTTGTAGCGACTGCGTCAAAAATGTGTATAGCGAAGGCGATGAATGCGACCAAGACGATGACGACGCCGAAAATGGCAGTGACTGTGACTGTGACTGTGACTATGACAGTGACAATGACGACGATTTTGGTTTCGTCGATGCAGACAATGTGGCTACCAGAAAACAACAGCAACAACAGGAGAATATTGTAAACGATTACGAGCCACCGCGGGACTTGCTTTTGTATCTTGTGAGGTAATTACCATGTAATTTAAGTAACTTATCACATAACCATTTAAAAAACTAGGCGTCGTTACGATAAGTGGCAATTCATACACATAGTAGTTAATGCCAGCTTTTCGGCTTTCCGGTTGATATACCATATATCTACATACAAATATGGCATTCAGCTTTTGATAGCTGCCCGGTTTCCGTTGGTTGGGTAATTAATGTAAAGAAATATTGTATATGGCTGTTTTTGAGCTGTGGCGTTACTGATCAATTAATGAGGAGATATTACCAATTTACGTTTCTTTTCTTCATATAACATTAATTTATGTATATACATATTTTATCACTATTTGAGTAATCTTAGCGAGTAGAACAATTTTCGGTTGGCGGATATTTTCGAGATGTTAGATGATACCTCTATGGTAATTAAATATTGCTAAATACTCTCTACTACTTACATTTCTCTTGCTCCTGGATTTCTGAACATTTAAATAATAAGACACTTTATTGATTGTAACACTTATTACATGCAAATACAGTTTCTTTGTAAAAAAAATTCAGAGATTAACCTTTTGAGAAAATAACACAATTGAGCACAAGAGTCAAGAGTCATAAGAATGTGATGTGTGTGTGATGAAATAACGATTTCACGTTCTCTCAGCCATTTAGAATGACAGTTGTAAATTACTGTTTCATAGATATCATTTTGGTTTATTTTTTGATAACACCGACATCCATTTCATAGGTACCATTTTCCTCCAAGATACCACTACTACTATCAGATTCAGTATAGGTGACTTTTGAATTTCAAAATCAAAAATTAAGAGAATAAAAAAATTCATAATAAAAGAAAATCTGAAATAGTTCCAACTATTTGTTTAACTGATGGCTATTTAACCAGGACTGGCTGTTAAGCTTTTGAATACAAAGTAATTCAAAACCAGAAAAAAACTATAACATCGGCTGCACCGGAACTATCTATACAATGCCTATTACAGGTTGCCAAACACAACCGACTAACCGTTTGCATTCAAGGAAAACGTTTTGCCAATTCTTTCTATCGTATTTGCTTAATATAAACGACTTGTGGTCCGATCTGAACAATATGTTCGGATATTGCGTATTGCCTTTCTTATTTTATTAAATAAAAAAAAAATTCCATAAAAGAACTTTATTTTATCCGATCACTTTGTACGTCAGCTATTTTCTACAGGTATATTGTCCGATATCGGTAGTTCCCACAAATGAGTAGCTTCTTAAGGAGAAAAGAACGGGTGCGAAATTTAATTTTTAATATGGTTGTGATATGACACTGATACTTTTTTCACCACTAATAGTATTTTTCACTTAACTTGACATAAATCTTGTCTTGTTTTTGTAACTCTTTAGAGGGAATCAGATCAGATGATTTTTACTCGCTAGCCTTCGTAATAACTACTACTTTATGTATATGTTATTTTTTCCGGAACAGAGATAAATAAATAAAATCATTGTCCTTAGTAAGGCCAGCCTTTTCATATATAAATACTATTATTATTCGATAAGTCTAAATTGCGAATAGTATTCTATTGCGTCAATATTTAAAAGTGTGTTGTTTTAGGTCAGAGACCTACCTCAGCATAGTTTTGATTTTGTTACTCAGCGAATAATTCATTAGATCAAGTCTACTGACCTTAATTTATTAAAGGTACAATATGTATATATTGCAAAAAAATGTATGAATTATATGTACATACATATATATGTATTTCTCAAACATTGCGATAGCGTATGATTTATTTATATTAATGAATATACTAATGTTGAACACAAGCAATAATATGTTATAAAGGTCACTTGTATGCAGTGATATTTCAATAACAAAAAATCTATTTGGTACATACACAACAACAACATTCCACAAAATATCAAATAATTGGCTTATTAAGCGCTCAAAAGTGCTCCTACTTCAGTAATAAGAGCAACAATCGTTTTAAAATGCTTGAATAAATATCCGTAAGATAAACTTTAACGCACTATATTTGTGTGTGCAAATATAAATTAATTATACAAAAAGATTAAGCCTCAAGTTCAAGGTCGACTAACAGAAATTATAAACTTCTACAACATTTCGCAGTTCACTCATAGTGGCCATATATGTGTACTCATATATCTCACTCTCGTTCTGTTTATAAAACAAATATTTCTGTATGCACATACTCGTGTATACATAGTATGTATGTGTACATACACATATGCGACAAGTACTTTAAGATACACGTTCGTATTCGCATCAAATATTTTAGATTGATCATATATCAAAGCGATTGCACACCTATCATAGTGTTATGACTAGATATAATGGGTTAATTACCGCAAGGTTGTCTTTTGACAACTATCTGCATAAATATACTCGTATATGTAATATATACTTTATTTAGATATTAAGGTAGCATTATCAATCATATTTTATTATACTTGTATGTACGGTGATAATGCTACTGACAGTAATATAAGTAGATAAAAGCAGTATTGACTTTCTTTTTGCCAAGTGTTTTTTCATTATTTTTCGCAAAACAGTGTAGCGCTATGGCTTAAGGGGGAAACCTAAGGTGATAACTTAAAAAATTAAATTTTTGGGAATTAAAAGACATGTTATATATTATTTTAAAATTTCAAGCGTGTATGTAAACATAGTATTTTAAAAATAAACGGTAAATAATTCTCGAGTTACATATAACCTGCGCTGACGAAAAGGTTCTCTACTGCTGTAGTGATTCCGTCCTTTTCCGCGGATAAAAGATAAATATGAAATTCTCTGGAAGATATTGGCAGTGCAATGGCCTACAGTGGAAAATAAAATTGACAAAATGGTATTGCTTTTTGAGAAAAACGCATTTAAAGACAAACTGAGTGAGCTGATTGAACGGAGCGGCTACATTTTTGAATGCTTTAACTTAAAAAATATTAGAGATATTTGAAATTTTAGTATGGTATTTGTTTAGGTATAGACTATAGAAATATGAAAAAAATATAAATAAATATTTTCAAAATTTCTCCTAGGCCCCTTATAAAATTGTATGTATTTTATGCTGCCTAATATGGCATTGCCATTATTAGGTGATTTGTTGCAGTTTTGGTGTATCATTACCATTTTATTGTTGTTTGGATCTGGGTTGCATTCCAAAGGAAGTAAACAGTACGCTCAGCACGTATAGAGTTTTACAAATCCAATTACACGTAAATTAAAAAGTTGTATCCTTTGTAAAAAAGTAAGTATGGTCAAAGCATTGCACAATATGATATAATAAATATTTAGGAATAAACTTTTTATGGTTTGTCGTTTATGATTCCAAACTTAGTTTTATTGAATTCATGAAAAGTTAAAATATTACTTTGCTAGATCCTTAGATTTTTTTCAAATATTGAATAAAAATATTATAGTAACCACTTGGCAAGATGACCAGAATAAAATAAAATTCAGAATAATTGGCTACCAAAGTTTGCAAACCAATGTAAATCTAAAAATATACCAAACATTTGAATTCAGTCACCTTTAAAGCACTTAATTCAATACTCTGAGCAGGGTTTATAAGTTTGCCACGAAGTTTGTAACACACAGAAAGAAACGTCGGAGACTCTATGAAGTATGTAAATATTATATATAAATGATTTGCGTAGCGAGCTAAGTCGATTTAGCCATGTCTGTCAATCCCTCCGTCTGTCTGTATATACGCGAAGTAATCTCTGAGCTTTTGAGATATGGATCTAAAACTTTGCACACATCCTTTTCTTCGCAAGCAGCTGCTCGTTTGTCGGCATTGCCGATATTTGACTCCACAGTAGGATAGATCTGATATACAAACTGAGCTATCAAAATCAAGCCTTTGTATGGAAAACTTTTTTATTTGAGAAGAAATCTTCACAAAAGTTGGCATAAAAATGATCGGCCCACTATAACATAACCAACTGACGGATTAAAATCAAGATAAAAGTCTTTTTTCCTTATATTAATCTCAATTCGACTTGAAAGTTTTGTTTATATCAAAAACCATTGGTCGAATAAATTTTTAGATTTATTTTATTGTAGTAGCTATAAGAAATACACCTGTGAAGGAGCTTCGATGCCGACGATGTTAACGTTTTTTCTTAGTGAATGCATTCTACGGTTTAGAAACAAGTTTTTTTGTGTCATTCAGTGTTTTAACTGTGGTTCACAGATATAAATTGACCATTGAGAAACATTAAAAAATAGGTTTTCAAGCCAATGTATCGAAATAAAACGACTCTTGGAATGAAAAATGTTGCTCATACGACCTGGTGGCATTTATTTTAATGAAGTATTCACTTGGTTTAATTGCTTAGAAATACATTTCATGATAACTAAAGTATTAAATCGTTATGTAGTAAATCTAGAAAACAAACTATTTAAATTTAGTTTTCCAAAATTACTCGCTTATTCAATATCAAAAAGTGTATGTTACTCATACGTCCTGTAGTTCCTTGTTCCATCAAATGGCAAAATAGAATTCTTTTAAGAAACATAAATGAATTGAATTGAAGAATGATAGTTAAATAAGACAGAGAGTTCCATTGATATTAATTCTATGTATTAATTAGTCTGAGAATCTTAATGCTGTATTTTGATTGCTTCTAAAAACATACATGTTTTCTCTTATTAATTGTTCATATATTTGATATTTAGGTATCGATAATTAGTTTTTATGTACTTATGTATGACTTTTATGTTTTCAAAGCTTGCGTAATCTGTCCGTATGTGATTAAGAGCCTATAATATATTAATGTGAATCGTTCTTAATTTCTATTCATTAGTCATTGCTGCATTAGCATTAAATAATAATACTGAGTAAGCAATTGTAAATCTTATTTAAAAAGTGATTGACATGAATGTTAGGTACACGCTTACAACAAATGAAAGCAAACATACATACATATGTTTATATATATGTATAGATACATGCATTCTGAATGTACAAAGGGCTAATTAGTCCTACAATGTTATCACTAAATGGCGTTTAATTTTT